CATCCGAATCTTGAACGTCCGGACTGGGGTGTCGTACGGGTGGTGGGATGGGGCCTGGGCTCTGCGGTGTGATCCGGACGACCTGGGACTGAATGCTCTCGGATCTCCTGGAACCGACCCGCGGATATAAACGATTGATGATCGGTCCTGGATCCCGTACGGGTTCTCCCACGGCGGGTCGTACGGGGTGATCCCGGACTGGCCATGGCGGGAAATCAATCTCGTCGGTAATGGAAATCCTCCGGGTCACCCGGACTGGGCTGGTGGCTTCTGGGGGCTCGCGTGGTGTCGCTGTGGGCCTGACGGGGGGACTGGGAATAATGGATGGTGGAATATGGGATGGCCGTGCGGGGATGGTTGTACGACGCGGGATGGACTTGATGGGCCGGCGGGGACGGACGACGGGGTCAATCATGGGCATTTCACTCGTCTCGGGCTTAATCGCCTGCCAACCGGGCTCGCATCGATCACACGGGGCTTCGTCCAACCCAGGGGGCCCATCACCGCATCGAACCCGCTGATATCCATCCACCGTGCCATCTAAATATGTGTCCAACATCACCCGTCGGCATTGGCCCACCCCGGCCGTGATATAATCGTACACCCGCTGTGGCTCCTCGGACTCGGGCAAACCGGTCCGCGTGGGCTCGGGAACCATCCATGGCGGTGCGGTATCAATCCCCGCGGGCTGAATGATAATGGCCTCGCTCGCCTGCCCATCACGGCCCGCACGCCCACTTTCCTGCGCATAATCTAACATCGTACGGGGCCACCCAATATGGATCACACACCGGATATCGGGGATATCAATCCCCATCCCTAATGCGCTGGTGGCCACGATCACCCCGGTGTGGCCTTGCCGGAACCGCTCGATGATCCCGCTCTTGTCGTCCTGCCCGCTGTAAAATGCATCGCACCCTAACGCACCGGCCATGATACCCACATGTGTCTTGGTGCTCCCGTACACAATCACCCGTCCGGCGGGCACGCGGTGGATCCGCTGTCGGACGAATGCCATCACCTGGGGCATCTGGATCCACTGGTTTGGTCCTTCTAACCCACGCTCTAATACGGGCCGCCATACACGATATGCGATATTGGTCCGGCTCGTACGACCCCGGTAAAACTCGACCTGGGACCGTTCACATCGGATCTGCTGCCATAATCGACCTTCCGCGCTGGGGGGTAATGTGGCCGTTAATAACACAACCTGCGTTTGTGCGGCGGTCAACCGGCCTAACTGCTGCATCATCGGACGAAACGTGGTGTCCCGGTTTAACAAAATATGACACTCGTCGATCACGATCCGGTCTAACCGCTGCATCATACGTTGCCGGTTCAAAAACGTGGTGAACTCCGTACTTAACGCTGATTCGGGCGTGACCAATACGATCGATGCCTCGTCCGGGGGCCGTCGGCTCTCCCATGCCACGCATGATATCCCTAATGTCGTACAACGGTCCTGCAAATCGGCCCGTAATGCAATCAATGGCACCACGACCACGGTCAATCCACCGGCCACCCACGCGGGTAACATAAATAACATACTTTTGCCGCCTCCGGTGGGCATCACGGCAACGACCGGACTGGCGCCGTGCTGGATGGCCTGGATGGCCGGCCCTTGTACGCCTCGGAACTGCATCTGGTCGTCCCCGGTCATCCGTCGGACGGCTTCGGTCATATCGGTCTCGCGTAACTGCCACCGACGCTGGCTGCGGGCCTCGTCCGCCGTCGATTCCCACGGGGATCGCTTGCGTTTGCCTAATACCCGGGCTAATGGATCCTCGGACGATGGAAACCCTAAAAACCGGTGCCAATCGGTGCTGGATAACCGGAACATCTCACGGCGGTGCGCCGTCGTACCGGCTTGCTCGCTGACCTCGCGGCCATATATCATCCCGGCGACGTGCGATGAATGCGCGGCCTGTAAATCCGCAATATGGCCCATAAATTGGTCGTGGTCCATCTGGGACTCGTCGTCCGCATCGTCGGGCGTACCATCGGTCGTACGACTATCCTGGACGTTATTTGGGAACACACTGGATACCCGTAAAAACCGTCGACTGATCCCAATGGCAATATCGCGGTACGCGGGGATATTTAATGAATACCCATGCAATCCAATGGCCGTCTCGCGCTTTAACACCTCCCGGAACCGCTCGGACGACCACTCGTGGCCGGTATGGGGGTCGGGCGGCCATAAATATGCGGCTTGCGATAAATGGGACGGATGCTCGTACGACGACTGCCCCAGCGGGTATGCCTGCAATCGCTCTATAAATGGCAATACTAACCACAAATATTGTACGACTAACTCCCCGACCTCCCGCGGTAAATACCGGTGGATCGTTTTGGCGTCATTCTGCGCATAAAACCCCTTATGGTACCGACTGGCAAATACCACTAATCCATCCTCGATGAATATATCGCGGTGGCCGCCCTCGGTGTTCCGGTGCCGAATGCTTAACAGCTCGGGGGCTCGACTGGGTTGTCCGGCGGTGACGTGGATGGCGATACATAACTGCTCACGGAATCGTACGACCCGTTGCATATATCGTTGAATGGCGGATGTCCGGAACTGACCCTCGTGCGTATTGATAAACCGCCGTTGTACGGCACTATCCTGCGTTAACCGCTGGGTCATCCACTGTGCGCCATCCACGGGCCACGTCGTACGCGAATCCTTTAAAAAACACCACCCGGGTTTGGCCTGCGCGGGGTCGTCTATCAAGCTGGCCCACGGGATGGATGGGATGGGCGTGGTCTCGGTGGTCATTAACAATTCGTCCCGCAATATCCCCTGTAATGATCCCACTAATCCATGTACGAAGCCTCGGAAATCGCCCATCGAAAAATGCACCTCCTTGTACAATATCTGGTCGGGGCCCATCCACGCGATATGCCCGGGCGTGGTGCTATTATAATGCACATGTAAACCGTACGTCCGTAAATCTAACATCCACTGCATCGGGCTATGCGTGCCACGGACCATAAACGTATCCACTAATACCTTTAACCACTCGCGAAACGGCCGCGAACCCTGCCGCCGCTGCTGGCTAAATGATATCAATCCGGGCTCGTGGGATCGGGGGGGATCTTGTACGACCGGTGAATGCGGGTGATCGGGCTCGGGGGTGGGCGTGGGGCTCTGGCTGGTATATCCTTCATCCTGGCCCGCGAATATATATTCGGGGTCGTCCATCGGACTCTGGCTGGCCCATTCGCCGACCCCTTGTCGGTGCTGCAAAAATTGTACGATCTCATCCGCGTGGGGATCTAACCGTAATGCCTTATGCAATACCATAAACCGCGCAATCTTAATCATCTTGGACAAAATGGGGGGGTACGACTCGGGCGTCTGCCAACCGTCCCGGCTGCGCCCTAATACGGCCAATGCACATACTAATGCACACTCGTACTCCTCGGCGCCTACGCGCTGATTCAGTAACTCAATGCAAAAGTCGATGCATGCTTGTTCAATGGGTGTGAACTGGTATAGCTCGGGATCATCGTTCGTACGACCATGGGTGGCCGGGTCGGCGCCCTGCGCGGACGACGACTGGCCCAGCTGGACCGTGGACTGGGCACAGCGCCATAATGCCTGCCACGCGCGTTGCTGCCGCGATATAAACCGGTACCGGGGACTGCGCCATTCGTGCGGCTGCTGCGTACGAGCAAAAAACATTAACACCCGCTGCCATGGCTCCACGTGTCGTACAATGTTATCCATATCCATATACGCCTGCAATGGTTGATGCGGGCTCTGGTCCTTCTCGGTCCGCGCGGCCTCGATTCGGATTAAATGGCCGCATTGCTTGGTAATACGCTGGCTCACGCGGGCGACCCGATCCATGGCGTCCCAAATGGCACGTACGATGCCCTCGGGGCCCTCGGCATCCGGATCGGGGGTGGCGATGGCCTCGGACAATAGTCGTACGGGGATCCCCTGCAAATACTGGGCCCACTGCGTCCGCCGTAACCACGGGTTGGCCTCATCCAGCTCGCCGGCTTGTACGACCGTCTCGTCGCTGGCCTGGGACGCGGTGAAACACTGTTCGAGCTGGTTCACTAACCCTTGGACCACAGTAGGGTGCGGCGGAGGCTCCATCGGCTCGTACGACGGGCCGGGCCGGCGAACGTGGATATAGTGGGAACCAAACTTCGTGGTAAAGAACCGCTGGCAGCATACCGCTTGGGTAGTGTCTTGAATAGCCACTCGGGCAAGATCATTTAGCCAAGACTGCTGGTGGCCTTGATGGTGACCGTACGGCGACCAATGATGCTCCGTACGCCAATGTTTCCGAATACTTTCTTTACTCCGGCATACATATCCACAGCCTTGGACTCGGGTGCATAGGATACCATCAGTGTACATCGCGAGGCCTTCGATAGGCTGGTCCACCCATTCGGGAAAGCATAACTGATTAATATTCTCCTCGACCTCGTCCCACTCCTCGATAGCCGCCTGGACCTGCCGGGCATCGGGAATCGTTGTACGATGCGGGGAATGGGTCAGATGAAACACGACCTGGGTCGGTCGGACAGCATACTGACACTGGCGACAGACAATCACGGAATACTTGGGGATCCGTAAAAATAAGTCCGCGGCGGTGCGGGATGCCATTGTACGATAAGGTTTCGTAGATCGTCCAAATATATATTTGCGGGGGTCGTACAAAGAACGGAGCTTAGTCTGTTGGGGCGAGGAAAAAAGTAAGTGGGAATTCGCTAAAGATTTATATTTTACCCCTGAATCTTACGCCACCCAAGCTAGATAGTATTAATAATATGATAGGCTGATCGAATATACTAAGTTTCCACTAAGACAAAGCTTTGTACGACGACCCTTAGTATATATGACTATATATAATTTAATAAGATCTATATCTACGAATGATTATAAGTAATAAAAATGCGGATTTCATTCGGTATTGTAAGTATTCCCCCTTCTAGCCTAAAATGCTATCTTCACTCCCTACCACCCATATTGTACGTCCTCCCTAGGCCTCTTCGTACCAAGCAAGTTGAGAAGGCTCGGTCCGACGCCGGTTATCCTCCTCTTCAGTCAAATCCACTATAGTGATCTCTTGGACCTCGCTATCCGCACGAGGACGTTGATAGGCCCGACGGGATAGCCCTTGGGCCGACCGGACGACACTCCGGTCGTCCGTTAGGTCAATAATATCCGTTGCGGGTAAGGGACGAGGTGGGTGCCGTGGCCATGGCCGTGTAGCATTGCGGGGCTGTCTATCTCGTATAGAGCACCGAGATACGTGATCACGCCACTTACAATTGCCACAACAGCCGCCAAACTGACCTGGGAGTCGGATACACTGCGGAAAAGGTTTGCACCGGTCCACACACGCCTCGCAAGGCTGAACGAGTTGATTGCCACGGGACTGGATCAGCAGGGCATTAATGTACGAGGGTCGCTGGGAGACAATTTGCTGCCCATTAATGTTGCCTCGTACATGCCAGATAGGGCGTCCACGACCCCGAAGGATCGCGAGCTGCACCGGAGTTGTGCACATCCGGGCAAGCTCATCGCCGCCAACTGGGAGTTGAAGCTGACCCTGGTTACCGCCTGGTCGTTCAGCGTATTGGATGAGGGACTGGATACCCTCCGCGTGCGTACGAGGAAGACGAGGGTTCCCATCCTGGTCAGTGTAGGGGAAGGGCCAGCTAGTAGAGATTGCACATTAGCTAAAGATCGTTCATAAAAAAGTCAAGAGCTTACCTGCTCCATTCCCCGGGACCAAAGTTCATGATACCTTCGCCGGCATAGGGACTCCGCTCCCGACCTCCGCTGTACAATAGTTAGTTTCACATATATCGCTATAGGAAAGGAAGCATACATACAACGATCCAGAGCCACCACGTCCGCCACGGCTACCACCACCACGGCGAGAGACGAGGGAGGAACTAAATCGGAATTAGTTTGATTTCACTGCTTGGGTTGGGTTCGTACAAGGGAGACATCTTGACGTAATTGTACGTCAAAAAACGAGAGAAGAAGGGGGGCACAGGGCGAGAGACAATCAGTGATTTTAGAAAAAGAAGTAAAAAAAAAAGGTTGATTTTTAAGGTAGAGAAAGTGGTCAGGTAAGAGAGATATAAAGAAAGGTAAGTTCGAAAAGGAAGAAAACTTGATTATATATTGAGGATTGTACATTCATCCGAAGTACGTCTATTGTCCTAGTCTATTGAGGCCATAATGCGTTTGCATTGATGTGGCTGCCTCAGTCCTATTGTACAAGTCTATTGAGCCTCATTGTCCGAGACTATTAAGCACATTGTGCGTTTGCATTGAGCACATTGGGCGTTTGCATTGAGGTAGCTGCCTCAGTCCCATTGTACAAGTCTATTGAGCCTTATTGTCCGAGACTATTGAGCACATTGTGCGTTTGCATTGAGCACATTGGGCGTTTGCATTGAGGTGGCTGCCTCAGTCCCATTGTACAATTCTATTAAGCCTTATTGTGCGTTTGCATTGAGCATATTACGTGTTTGTATTGAGGTGGCTGCCTCAGTCCCATTGTACAATTCTGTCAAGCATAATAGGCGTTTGCATTGAGCACATTGGGCGTTTGCATTAAGGTGGCTGCCTCAGTCCTATTATACGAGTCCATTAAGCCTATTGTCGACTGCAATAAGGTGACTTCCCTCGTTCTTTATCTATTAATCTTATTAGTATACTAAGTATAATTAAAGATACGTCTTTAGCGAATTATAATAGAATATATAGATATTATAGTAGTGGAATATATAATATAGTAAACGCGGCTGCGGCCTAAGGTATTATGCATACCTAGGAGCATATATAGTATCTCCTACGTAAGGATAGAGATAGAGAAGTTATCTACCCTTTTTATTTATATTCGTTAATTAAGGTAGTATAGCTACTAGAAGGCCTTCTTTAATAAAGTAGTAGGGTTTGAGGGTTATACTAAGCTTATATAAACCCCTAGCCTAAGGGTGACTAAGTATCGCACGACTGGCCAAAGCGCACCCCATCAAAAAAAAAAGGTCCAAATTTCTAACCCCTGTAACTACCTCTTCTTTTGATTGTACGATCTTTAAATTGAAACCGGGTATAGAGCGATCGCGAATTTAGAACTTTTGAAGTTTTGATGATTGTCCGACCGATATTTTCAACTGGGATGCACTCGAGAAGTCCAACTGGTATGCACTCACTAGCGCCGTTTTTCGCCCATAGTAAAGCCAAAACCCTAACTGGTATGCAATGCATCCCACCACCCCCCATGGGATAGCAAATACCACTAAGCCATCCTCGATAAATATATTGCGATGGGCCCCCTCGGTATTGCGGTGTCGAATACTTAACAGCTCGGGGGCACGACTGGGCTGTCCGGCGGTAACGTGGATGGCAATACTTAACTGCTCGCGGAATCGTACGACCCGTTGCATATATCGTTGAATGGCCGATGTCCGGAACTGCTGCTCGTGGGTATTGATGAATTGCTGTTGGACGGGGTCATCCTGCGTTAACCGCTGTAACATCCACTGTGCACCGTCTACGGGCCACTTCGTACGGGAATCATATAAAAAATTCCACCCGGCCTTGGCCTGCCCTGGGTCGTCCATCAAACTGTCCCACGGGATGGATGGGATGGGTATCGACGGGGTGGTCATCAACAGCTCGTCTCGTAAAATCCCCTGTAATGATCCGACCAACCCATGTACGAACCCACGGAAATCCCCTATCGTGAAATGCACTTCCTTGTACAACAACTGGTCCGGGCCCATCCACGTAATATGTCCGGGCGTCGTGGTGTTATAATGTACGCGCAACCCGTACGTACGTAAATCCAACATCCACTGCATTGGCCCATGCGTACCGCGGACCAAAAATGTGTCGACCAACAACTTTAACCACTCCCGGAATGGCCGCGATCGCTGCTGGCGCTGCTGCTGCGTGAATGATATTAAGTCGGGTATGGGGGAACTCCGATTATGTTGTACGACGGATAAATCGGGTTCGGGCGTGGGCGTGGGACTGCGGCTGGTGTATCCTTCGTCCTGACCAACAAATAAATATTCGGGGTCGTCCATTGGACTCTGGCTCCACCACTCGCCCACGCCGTGTCGGTGTTGTAAAAATTGTACGATCTTATCCGCGTGGGGATCTAATCGTAATGCCTTGTGCAACACCATAAACCGCGCGATCTTAATGATCTTGGATAATATCGGTGGGTATGACTCTACGGTCTGCCACCCATCCCGGCTGCGGCCTAATACGGCCAATGCACACACTAATGCACACTCGTACTCCTCCGCACCGACCCGTTGGTTTAACAGCTCGATGCAAAAATCCATACATGCCCGCTGGATGGATGTAAGCTGGTATGGCTGGGGCTCATCCGTCGTACGACTGGGGCTGCTGAGGTGGTTGACGGTGGACTGGGCACATCGCCATAATGCCTGCCACGCACGCTGCTGCCGCGGCATTAACCGGTATCGGGGGCTGGACCATTCGTGCGGCTGCTGCGTACGAGCAAAAAACATCAAAATGCGCTGCCATGGCTCCACGTGTCGTCCGATGTTGTCCATGTCCATATACGCTTGTAATGGTCGGTACGGACTCTGATACTCCTCGGTCCGCGCGGCCTCGATGCGAATTAAATGGCCACATTGCTTGGTGATCCGCTGGCTGACCTGGGCTACCCCATCCATCGCATCCCAAATGGCTCGTACGACGGCCTCGGGACCTTCTGCGTCCGGATCGGGGGTCGCGATGGACTCTATTAATGGTCGTCCGGGGATCCCGTGTAAATACTGGGCCCACTGGGTCCGTCGTAACCATGGGTTCGTTTCATCAAGCTCGCCGGCCTGGATCACGGTCTCATCGCGGGCCTGCGACGCGGTAAAACACTGTTCGAGCTGGTTCACTAATCCTTGGACCACGGTAGGGTGCGGCGGTGGAGACACTGGGTCGTACAACGGGCCGGGCCGTCGCACGTGGATGTAATGCGAACCGGATTGCGTGGTAAAAAATCGCTGGCACGAGACGGCTTGCATGGCATCTTGGATGGCCGCTTGGACGGTCGTTGCATACCGGGCTGCTTGATGGCCTCGATGGCGACCGTACGGTGACCATTGATGCTCCGTACGCCAATGTTTGCGGAGACTTTCTTTGCCGCGACACACGTACGTACAACTCGGGCTGCGCGTACACAGGAGACCGTCTGTGTATACGGCGAGCTCAGGGATCGGCCGGTCGATGGAGGTTGGAAAGGTCAACCGATCCACCTCTGGATCGACCTGGGCCCACTCGTGGATAGTCGCCTGGACCTGCCGGGCCTCAGGGATAGTTGTACGATGGGGCGAATGGGTTAAATGGGCCACGACCTGGGTCGGTCGCACAGCATGCTGACACTGGCGGCACACAATTACAGAATATTGTGGGAGCTGGATAAATAACTCGGCCGCGGTGAGGGAAGTCATTGTACGATAGATTGTAGTAGATCAAGAATATATTTTCACTGGAATGGTACGAATAATCACCACAGGCAAGACTTGTACGAGGGAAAAATCCCTGTGGGGTCAGCTACAGTTTTGTGATTACCCCTGAACTCTCCCGCCACGCCAGCTGAAGCCGTGATGAAGTGTGATAGGCTCGTCCCTCGCACACGGGTTGAAGTTCAATTAAGCTCCGTACGATAAGGCATTGTGGGACCGGAGAATAAATGACATCATGTACGAACTGTATTAACTACAGGAGCAAGTTAAAAAAAAAAAAAAATCAATTCAAATCTGCAAGCTCGACAGTCCTAAGTATTCATGTAAAAGGGGGAGGTCGAGCTACGCCAGGTCTTCACTGCCTGGATCAACGATCGTACATCACGATCACGCTTCATCGTCCGAGGGGTTCCAGGCAATATGGGGTCGAGGGCGGGGTCGAGTCGGACGAGGGGGATCCTCCAGAGTCAAATCCACGATAGTGATCTCTTGGACCTCGCTGTCCGCACGCGGGCGTCGATAAACCTGACGGGAAGGCCGAGGGGCCGACCGGACGACTTGCTGCTCGTCCGTTAGGTCCACCACATCATCCGCTGCGGGTAAAGGACGAGGGGGGGCTCGAGGCCATGGTCGGGTAGCATTGTCCGGCTGATCATCTCGTACGGTGCACCGAGATGCGTGATCACGCCATTTACAATTACCACAACAGCCGTCAAAGTAGCCCGGGATACGGATACACTGCGGGAAGGGTTTGCAACGCTCCGAACAGGCATCACAGACACGAACGAGGGGATTCCCACGGGACTGGATTAACAGTGCATTGATGTACGAGGGTCGCTGGGAGACAACTTGCTGCCCATTGATGTTGCCTCGTACATGCCAGATGGGACGTCCACGCTCCGCGAGGAGCCTGAGCTGCATCGGCGTAGTGCACATCCGAGCAAGCTCATCGCCACCAACTGGCAGTTGCAACTGCCCCTGGTTACCGTGGGGTCGTTCAGTGTATTGGATGAGGGACTGGATGCCTTCGGCGTGCGTACGAGGAAGACGGACATTCCCTTCTTGGTCGGTGTAGGAGTAGGGCCATCTGTTCGACATCGTACATTAGCAGGTGATCCCGGGACACAGTAGAAGCATCGACTTACCCGGTCCACTCTCCCGGTCCAAAGTTGGGAATGCCTTCGCCCGGCCGAGGGTCCCAGGGTTCACGATCGCCACTGTACGAGGGTCAGCTTCACGTCCTAGAAAGTCACAGAATGAGGAGTCGTACGAGGAGTTGGAGCTACCCCGGCCACCGGAACTGGCATCCCAACCACGACCACGACCACGACCACGACCAAGACCAAGATCCCCACCACCAGCACCACCGCCATCTCCACGACCACGGCCACCACCACGGCCACCACCACGACCGGAACTATATATTTATTAGTATCACTGTAAATCACAACAAACGGCACGTATCATCAGGGATCGTACAAGGAAGACATTTTGACGCGCGTGGCGTCGGCGCGGCGAGGCGGACGAGAGAGTGAGAATGAGATAAAGAATATTGTAAGCGGCAGACGTGTCAGTTATGAAGAAAAAACACGTATACGAGAGAGAGTTGTGAAGGAAGGAAGGTTAGAAAGAGAGAAAAGAAGTGAATTTATATCGTTGGATTGTACAAGGAAACTTCCATCTCACTTCGAGTCTACCCTTATCGATATCGTACAACGCCGGAGATCTCCATCTACAGTGATTACTAGGCAGCGACCTCCATCAAGGCACCGACCTCCATTAAGGCACCGACCTCCATCAAGGCACCGACCTTCATCAATAACACGACCTCCAGCGAGGCATCGACATCCAACTCATCGTACAACTTCACTTTCACGACCACCACCAAGGCACCGACCTCCATCAAGGCACCGACATCTAACTCATTGTACAACTTCACTTTCACGACCTCTATCAAGGCAGCGACCTCAATCAAGGTAGCAACCTCCATCAATAACACGACCTCCATCAAGGCACCGACATCTAACTCATTGTACAACTTCACTTTCACGACCTCTATCAAGGCAGCGACCTCAATCAAGGTAGCAACCTCCATCAATAACACGACCTCCAGCGAGGCACCGACATCCAGCTTATCGTACAACTGCACTTTCACGACCTCCAACTTCACGTCCAGTATCAACATCACGATCTGCATTAACACCTAGCTCATCGTACAACTCCAACACCACGACCTCTAATCTCACCACCTACATTAACACCTAGCTCGTCGTACAACTACACTTTCACGAACTCCAACTTTATATCTAGCATCAATATCACGATCTGCATCAACTCCCAGCTCATCTCGTACAACTCCAACTCCACGACCTCCAACACCACAACCTACATCGACACCTGTTCCTCGTATAACTTCACATCGACGACCTTCAACTCCATAACATCGATCTGCACCTAACTCATCGTACAACTGCACTTTCATGAACTCCAACTTCACGTCTAACATCAACATTCGGCTACGCGCCGAATATCTACACAATGCTAGCATACACTACCAAATCGAAAAGGATAACCCCTTACCATCATATAACTCCCACACCACGACCTCCAACTCCCGGACAAAGATCCAGATCTGACTCATCGTACAACTTCACTTCGGCGAACTCCAACATCACGTCTAGCATCAACCTCACAGTATTAGAGGTCGTAGAAGTGAAGTTATACGATAGTAAAGGGGTTGTCCTTTTCGATTTGATAGTGTGTGCTAGCATCATATAGATATTCGGCGCGGAGCTAAATATAAATACTAGTCGTGATATTGATGCTTGACCTATTTTTACTATCACCTGTTCTACCCGACCTACATACGTATCGCGATTCCAACTGCCAACCTCACTGCGACTAATTAGGGCGAAAATATGAGTTAATATTAAAAGCTTTTAGAAGGCCTTCTTGATTAAGGTACCTAACTAATATTAATATAGGCCGTGTTTATAATTGATCTGGCGATCTTAGGAGAGTCAGAAAGTTCGGGTTTCTGATTTATCTATATCCGGTGCTTGGTTATCGTATAAGATTAACTTCACATAGCTCTAGTTTTATTTACTGACCTTTATATTTATTAGGACGATATCACGATCCGCAGACCTATCGCGTTATCCTAGGCCTCCCGAGATTCCTAGAGTTCTCAGGATGCTTATATAAATCGGGTTATATAAGGGAGTTGAGGGTTTGTACGACTAGCCTAACTGTACTAACCGTACCCCATCAAAAAATTCACGAGAATTTCAGATCCCTGTAACACCCTCTTCAAGAGGTTGTACAAGTCCAGGTTTGAAACCGGAGATAAACCGATCGCTCACTTAGAACTCCTCTAAATCTTAGCGTCGTCCGACCGTTATTTTCAAATGGGATGCACTCGCGAAGTCCAATTGGGATGCACCCCTTAGCGTGGCTTGGCACCCATAGTTAAGAATCAAACCCTAAATGGGATGCACTGCATCCCATAACCCCCCATGGGATAGACACTGTTAAGTCTACCACTTTTGGCGAACTTATATCATATAAAAGCTCGCGTGGCAAGAGAAGATAGATCAGATCTAACTCAAGTATGGTCTGTGTACGCTTACGCTCAGTCAAAGTGTCAAACTCATTCCTCGTCTAGTAGCCCTGCAAGGCTAGCTTATTATTGCCAAGATACTATGGTCTTACTCTACTAGTTTTAATAGTTTGTCTATTCGGCGCCTTTCTCCCAATTGTTGAGGCTCCCCGTGCAGCTGATTAGGTTGATCAATTACTATCGTATTGTTGCAGTATAACCCGTTTCAATGCGTAATTGGTGTTTAGAAGATTCTGTCGGATTGACGGATACTGGTATGTGCTAGTATTGAGGTGTTCCATTGAGATACACTGATGTTGTTCTATCTGGATCTTGCTGTTGAAGCGTTATCAGATCTCAGGGGTCGTTCCTAGCGTGTTACGACGCTGGTATGCCGAGCGTATCCCGTTTACCTTACAGAGACAAAGAGAGAATGGGTACTTGATGAATAACCCTGTCCTTAGTGGTAAAATACCACCCCTCAGTTCGACACAGAGTTCCGACTGAAAGAATTTTGCTCCAAAAACAACACCCTGAAATTTTCTTGACTCGAAGCTCTTCTCGCCATCCAGCATGAATCAAATTAAATCCCTGCGAAGCTTTGTCCCGATACGAAGGTGATGCATATCAATAATGCGCAACCCATCCTCCGTTTTTCTACCTAACGGCGCGTGTGTGCTTTATTGATTGGTTTCGAGTAGCACCCGTGCTTCTTGATTTCCTCTCAAGGAGCCTTGCTCGGGTTTGCTGGACTAGGAACCGACGGAATAAGACTCTTCACGTAGTCCTCGTGGAAAAACGACTGTGCGATATGTTGCAACCCAGCAGATCCTACAGCTAAAGTATACCCGTCTTGTGGGTTGCCTGATGTCTTCATGGCACCGCTGGAACTATAGTGGACGTCAAGAATATGGATTTGATTTGCCGGAACTTTTGCCTGTTTGATCAAATGTACCGCAGCCGCCCAATGATTTGATACCGCTTCCGATCAGCCATGTAGTATACAAAAAAGCTGATTGCCATGTGCCATCATTTCTAATGTCTTGTCGACTCTTGACAAAGTATCCTGATACAAGTCACTGACAAAGTCAAAAGTCACCGATAGTCGTACACGGCAGAGTGGCTATCCCCTGAGGTGTCGGCTGCCCACGGAAAAAATGATTATAGATGAATTTGTTCTGACCAGGGTGGCTACATAGCGAATAGGTCCTCCACGTCATCCATGCGTGGGCTGGTGTTCCAATCCATTCAAAGTTTGGTTCAAATTTTGGTCAACGGAGCAACTGGCGTACTGATGAGCATGCCTTCTAGATCCGCTCCTAATGCTCGATATTGGATTCGTTGAGACCTGAGAATCGGTTCTCGCCTCGGCCAGGTCATGTTGGATTGTTTCTGTACCAGACACCTGGGTAGGTACGGTATACGTTGGCGGCTCTGGATCGCCGCAGAGGCCTCGGATCATTGCTACGTCGCTTATTATGTGCTGTCACTTTTGAAGCCTTTGTTGAATTTCCCATCGATCCCATACCCCTTTCCATCACCAAGCACCTACATTATTACGGCGATGACTAGCTAGGTAGCATTAGGTTAATATAATATCATCATCATCACCATGAATTGAGTGAATGGATTTTTATTTTGTTAAAATGTCTACTCTATAATCCATGCGCCATCATAGAAAGGATCAACCCAAATACCCCCCGCCGAGTTTCCATCCCAATTGTCAGCGGTGAAAGAAATCCGTTCATTTCCAATAGTATAATTGCGGATACGGAGTCCAATGCCGTTAAATGAGTGTTTGCCAAAGTAGGCTGGAATGTTGCCTCTTGAGCCATCTGTAAATTTGTGCAAGAAGCCAAGGTTTAGACCAGTGCTGTTAGGGGATAACTCTTCGATCCAGATGTTCTCCATCAGCACATTATCGTAATTCATGAGCGGGTCGATGCGGAAAAGACCGGGGTGAATGCCCTCACAGCGGAAATTAGAGAGAGACATCAACGATGTCCCGAGCGTGCTGTCAGAAGTATTACCCCATACATCGTTCATACTGTCAGACGCAAATGTCGTTGAACCAAAGACACCCCGCCCCGCCTTGCCGTTCAGCTCGTTGCGGAACACTCTTGAATGAATTACGTCGACATCGTTCACAACGATATTGGTTTTGTTCTCATACCACCAGCCAAACTGTACAATTGGTGCATCAGTAGTTTTCCAAACAGTGATGCGCTCAGCGGTGACGTCGCTACACCACGTCTTGATGACATCATCGCCAGAATGGTAGAACACGTCATGTACGTAGCTTCCTGGGTACATTTCCAGACCGTCAGTCTGCACAAAGAATGCTCCAACTTGCTTGTAGTCCCAGGCATGTAACCGTATCGAAGTAAGGTCGCCATAAAAGTCCATACTATTGTATGGCGGGGCAGCTATTGTGACACCGTTAAGAATAAACTCTTGCGACTTATATGGTGTACTCCAACCCCGCCACATCCTGACATTATTCGAATTGTCGTTCAAATTCGTGTAATTGGCCAGCATATTCGCTTGGTAGACGTATTGCTCCCCTGAAAGAACTCCAAATCCAGTGGCCTTGATAATTGTGGAGTTTGTAGTGAACTCGATGGCACCTTTCACATATGATCCGGGCGCGAAGTAAACCCACGACACAGATTCTGGGAGACGTGCGTGGGCGGTGCCGGTCATCCAATAGACACCAGGTTTGAAGTACACAACTGATTGGTTGATCTTGTCTAGGCCAGTGATCAGGCCAGGCTTCATCTCGAGGGTTGATCCAGATGACGCGGATGGGACCAGATCACTCGTTGGGAACGGGCTGGCAAAGATCAAGAGGGCATTTCTCGGTTCCACGCCGACGATTGGCATGGTGTTATTATACTCTAGAACGTAATTGCGATATGATGGATCAAAGTCTTGGGCATAGGCACAATCAGCTGGCGGGTTTTCTACCTCTGAACACTCTGGGCCGCCCTTAAGGTTGCGATATGTAAAAAGGTCATCCTCGAATTCAATTGAAAATCGAGTACCTCTGGTGTTGAAGGGCACCTTCACGTAAGTGGCGCCTTCGATGTTCTGCATGCTGTAGCCAAGGTTGGTGGGTCGAATGATAACGTTTCCAGGGTTGCGACCATCCAGCCTGGTGATCCTGAGCACTGTATCGCTTGCGTAAAGGAACTGTGTCCACGCCATTGTAATGTTGGCGCCAGCTTCAATTGTGACCCCATCGCCAGAGATGCTGGTATCGCTGTAAAACGACGAATAATTGCCAGGGATTGATATCTTGCCATTACCATTGCGGGGGATTGATTCGTAAACAAAAGAATCGTAGAAACCGTCGGGCAAGTGGTGACCTTCCGCAGTGGCAACCTGCACAGAATAGACGTGGGATTGTCTGACATTGCTGTCGCTGGCAAGAGGCGATTTGTAATTATATTCTCCAGTCGAATGCCACCAAGTCTTGAGTTCGGTTGTGTCTATCGTTCGATTGACCCCGGTAAAATGGTGGGGAAAGCCAGTAGCGAGTACTGCTAAGAGCAGTAAATTCCCCAAAAGGCGGTGGAAGGCCATGCCTGATGATTGAAAAGAAACTTTGTGTAGGAAGTATTTGGATTGAATGAAAGTTTCTGAGGCTAAATAAAGAGCTCAGCGATAATCTTTTATACTTCTGGGAGATAGAGAGCGCGCCATTTCAATGATGTATTATCATGAACGTACATACAGTATCAAAGGACTTTCTCCGGCAATGAAGTCACGGGCAATGAAGTCACGGGCAATGAACTCGCGGGCAACAGACCACGAGCAACAGACCACGGGCAACAGACCACGGGCAACAGACCACGGGCAACAGACCACGGGCAACAGACCACGGGCAACAGACCACGGGCAACAGACCACGGGCAACAGGCCTGAAAACACGGTTCACGCATGTACTACGAGTGACTTTATTCTTATCTGCTTGTGTGAAATGAATTAACCCTTTAGACCCGCCAAATCATACATAATCGCTTAAAATCCCCACGACCTGTAGCTCCTGAATAGATAGCTTACCTGGCTTCGATGTGGACGCGGGTATTAATGAGCGTCCCAGATAGAGAAGATTTTGATTAATGACGTTTCATGACTTTCCTGGCTGCCAACTAGATATTCCCTTTTCTTCCTATGGTTTGCATAAGCTCCGCACGATTGATTGTTCGGACTATTTGAAACTCTCGAATTTCGGCAAACAAAATTGAATTCGAATCCTGGTTTCGGAGCTTCGAATCTATGGCCGATTCAATTCGTCAAAAATTCGCGAACATCAAACACATTCGCAAACCAAATATCTAGCCTAGTCATCTAGGGGAAAATGTAGTTTCAAAACAAGCCCTCGACATACCAGGTTCCTACAAGAGGCCCTTTGTAAATTAAGCTAGAAAACCAATCGCGTCGGTCCGAGAAAAAAAAAACAAAAACAATCACTGGATAACTATACCCAACGTACTGGGTCTTTCAGTTTGATTAGTATTGTCTTACTGCACTAGGCTATCAAGCTTTGTCGCTCAATTTGGAACACCTTAGCGTCTTTCAATTAACCTGGACCTAAATTCGGACGTTGTTCAGGGAGAACGCGCGTCAACACGCGGAGACGGTTTCTGGTAGGATCTTCGCTAGCCCGATGAGGTTATCCATGTTGAGATAAAAGTTGGTTGCATTGTATTCCATTCTAGTTGTCTATCCAGTAGGAGGTGGGGCTTCTCATCTATTCATGTCTCACAATGACCCCCATCACAGGCTTTGACCACCGTGATACTCAACAGTCCGTTTGCTGTGTATGAATTATGTTGTGCAACTACCGCTAACATGACCTTAGATTGCTATAGTATGTGTATTTCATTTCAGGCTTATTGACCCTGATCTCAAGATCTGCGGTGTTCGACAGCACGGACTGCCAGAATATCTACCGCCTTTCTAATGAGTCTTTAGTGCATTTTATTCGCGGACCTCGAATCGAGTTCGTACGAGTTATTATTTTCGATTCGAGTCAATAAACCTTGTCCAAGAACTAGTATACCTTTGATCAGTTGCTTGCTTAAGTAGCAAGATACAAGATAACTATGACACTCTGTGCCGTAAGCCAAGTCTGAGATATTCAAGCATTTTATGGACCATCCACGATTAGGCAATAAACCATGGCAGGCCGCTAGTATTCTCCACGTGTCAGTTCATGGCTAGGTCGCAGATAGACGCTCTGCTAGTTTGCACTTGCATGAGATGGCTTAAAATAGCATGACGAGATTTTTGAAAAGTCACAATCGCGTTGTGCATGATGATGATCCATTTAACGGATACAGCTCGCCCTAGACATTCGCTGCTATGCGGGGTGCTGCCACGGCTGGAAAGTGATCTTCAGCTCACTGGACTACTATTCCTTGAAGTTCGCTAAAAGTAAGTTCATGGTCGGTAGCTCTAGAATAAAAGAAATGAAAACAAATCGAAAGAACTGCACGTCTGCAAAACACTAGAAACACAAAGGAATCAAAATGACGGTCATATACTTTAGTCCTCCCCGCGACCAGTGTTCCGCCTCGCGGAGTTCACTCAAGTCACTCACTCTTCCTCAAAGCCACCCAACCCATGGGCTGCCGCTCGCATACTCGCTGGAACCAAGGAAGTACAGTTGACCTGGCCCTGCATTCCTACTGGACGCTATCACTATTCGCCTGTCGCAATGTCCTACAAAGTTATAGATAGAGAACTAGATAATGCAAACTTATTATCAAAATATATTTTATTAACTATATTGTTTTTTTGTAAAACAAGAGCAGGTATTCTTAAATCTATTAAATTACTAAAATATGTATAAGAATGTTGATCAAAAAACATAGTACTTATTCTTCTCATCGCCTTGTTGCATACCTAGGCAGTTAAATCGACTGCTTCAAACTGGTCTATGACATCAATTTTGACCATATAATCGGCTACTGCTGTGGGAACTTCCGGCAGTGACAGAAGCTCCTCAGGAGGTAAGCAATTCTCTGACCGGAAATAGTGCGTCTCATACAGTCGCGTTCATCCTGATCCTGCCGGCTTGGCGACAAGTATACCGTGGCGAAAGGTAACCCCTGATTATAGGGTGTGCAATGTGGCGTGTGCAGAAAGGGATCCGAACCGCATTCGGCGTCCTGGAAGGAAAGTCTACAGCCGAGAAAGTAGTGAAACGGCGCTGCTATTAAGTGGTTACGAATTGTTACATCCCCAGCATGAGCAGCTCTTCGCATACAAATGTACCTTGGCTGGAGCTTGTGATGCTTTGGTACTGTTGAATTAAATGCGCTAAGCCCAACTCGTGTTAGGAGACTACGGGAAGGCCGTGAGTAGCCATGCATTTTGATTATGCGAAGCAAGGCTCTGCCGTATGGGCGACACTCCTTGAAGAATTCATATCTATATCAATTATCTTGATCTTCACGCCCTTTGAATATGATATTATACTTCTTTAGCATTCAAACTATCTCTGTCCATTTTCAGCTTTTCTATTTCCCTTACCCTTTCTTGTCATGCCTGGCCTCGATACGTCCATATTTGATTGTGTTCACTTAGCTGCATTCTATCTTATGGGACATGGTGTACACTATCATCAAGCGACTCGATCCACCTGTGGCGAGTGACCATGGTCCCGAATTCGATTGCTAGCCTTGTTTTATTTCTTTTCAGCAAGCCACGCTTCGTGTCCAGGGCCAAAAGAGCGACTGATTGCTAAAGATTTCGTTTTCAGCGCCCATACCCTTCACAGATGCTTCATGGATGAGAAGGCTCTCCATATCGACATCGTCTTCAAGTTCACGGGCTCTAAGATCACAAAAGATCGCATGTGATGCTGTTGTTCACAGAATACCTTCCCTCTGGCATATAACCAAACTGAGACCAGGAAATCTCAGAATTGAGACTTTGCTCAGACCAGTGCCTTCTACTTTCTTTTTGCAATGACCAAAGGGAAAAAGGGAAATTACCAGGTCTTCTTGGTCTCCAGTTATCTCTCCACGTTCTTCCAGTCTAGCAATTGATCGCTCATGGCGAGATAACAAAGATAGGGCTGAGCGATCGCTCTGTCTCGATCGCCATGCAGCCCATACTTACATATAACAAAGACCGTGTTGCGATACAAAGTTGGTGCAGATCAGGGACAAAGCCATGCCTTCCGAAATCATTCCCACGGTATCTATACCGACAATAAAGTTGATTGAAACTACATATACGTATATCCACACGCACTCCTCTAAAAACATGAGTCGGGTTGTGTCTCAGCGGGCATATGCATGTCCAAGTCCAATCCTTCACGCCGCCGATTCCTCATCGCCGCATGCTCCCTCACTAAGTATGGCCGTGTCGTCAACTTTGGTAGCCTTGAATTGACGCGCTGGGATCTTGGATTCGAAGAGGATATCCAACTCAGCAAACGTGCGGTCTTTGAGCTCAGGGAGCCTGTAGTAGGACCAAACCCAACAGAGGCCGCAGAACCCGGCCCAGAAGAAGCCGGTATAACCCTTCCAGTTCCATGCAGTAGCATTGATCTGGTAGTTGGTGATAATGTTATTGACAATCGAGAAGATATTGTACGCGTTGCGAGCAAGTGCTGCCGTCTTGGATCGAAGACGTGTCGATGGGACTTCGGCCACGATGGCATAACAGACGGGACCGACGGAGACTGCGTATATGGCAGTGAAAATGAGAGGCATTACACCGGTCGCCCATGCCGTTCCTCCGCTCTGCTTTGGGATTGCCAATAATCCAATCGCCATCTGAATGACAAATATGCCCGCCAGACCGTAGGTGTAGAGTGGGCGGCGACCAAATCGATTAACAAACAACCAGGCCGCAAGTCCTCCAACGAAACCAATCGAAAGCGAACCGAGACTCATGTCAAAAGCGTGATCAGAACTAAGGCCAGCTTGCTCCAGGAAGTAGGTAGCTTGGCCGGCCAGAGCGAAACCCAACATGGGTTGAATAGACCAGGCAGTACAAGCAATCTCCGTTCGCCGTAGATTGATCCCCTTGAAACAGTCAAGATAGGTCATCCCTTCGTCGAGAGATTTCTCATGCGCATTGGTTGCAACCATCATAGAGATATCAGCTTCGATTTCATGATCTAGGGGGTTGGACCGTAGACGCCGCAATGACTTTCGGGCATCATCCAAGCGGCCCTGACGCACAAACCACCACGGAGACTCTGGAGCAAGGAGTGTGCCAATGACAAGCCAGGGGACCCAAACCCACTGGATGGCAAATGGGATCCGCCAAGACCATTGGGACGTGTTGTGAAGGAAACCACGCAATATTCCCGTAGATATGTACTTGCCAATGGACCAACAAAGATTGACATAGGTGGTAAGGTACGGTCTCAGGACCACAGGGCATACCTCCGCGGCGTACACAGTCGTGAGGGTCAAGAATATACCCAAGGGAAAGCCAATTAGGAGTTCACCGACAAGGAGCATCTCAATCGATTTGGCGAAGAATTGAATAAAAACGAAGCCTGACATGACAAAAAGAGCTGCGATCTGAGTTTTCTTAAAGCCAAAGCGGTCCATGGCCCAACCGTTGATCATCAAACCGAAGATCTGGCCGACATGCATTGCCTGGGTCAGGCCGCTCTGCCATGGAGCGGAAATATTGTATTTACCGTTGCCTAAACTCTCGCCGAATTTCTTTTGGAAGGCCGGGAAGCCGTAAAAAGAACCGAGGAGGCCGATATCGTAACCCTCCATGATGACGGCTGTGGAGATGAAGACAGACCACCAGACAGCCTTGGGATAAAGCTTCAACCCCTCCAGCAGAGTCATCTTCTGTTCTCTGTCGGTGCTCGCATGGATCTCAACTCCGTCAATAGAAGTAGAAAAGTGATTACCTCCGTCGTGCCTGCCGACACTTTTGGAAATGGTCTTTTCGTCCTTGAGGCTCTCCATCTCAAGCTCACGATGTCGGTATCGAGAAAATTGGCGTTCTGGTGTAATAGAAGGAGAAGACGGTGTGCATAAGAACGTTCACCACGTCCGACAGATTAAATTTGGGACCAGGTATAATCGGGAGCCTGATCTTTTGAGAAACCATGGATCGACGGTTATTATTTAATTCTCTCACTCCTTACTTCTTATCATCGTTATCTACCGGTTCCATCTGTGGCAAGCAAAGCTAGCCAAGGTTTCGCCCCCCGCCTTTCTTGCCCGCCATTATCGCCCGTCTTATCACCCGTCTCATTGCCCGTCTCATTGCCCGTCTCATTGCCCGTCTCATTGCCCGTCTCATTGCCCGTCCTATTGCCCGCATCCAGCCAAAGCAGCTCATGGAAATCAAAGGGGCAAAATATAAAAGTTGTCAAAACTAGACTGTGAAGGTAGGCTTCGACTCGGATCGCTCATGGTCAAGCCACTCTCTTATGCCCTCCTACCTTGACCAACTCATACTACCTGTTCCTCTCGTACACGATTCTGCCTTTTGACCAGCATGGATTCTTTACAGAATGATCGCAAGTGGTGGAAAGATGAATCCGTCTATCAGATTTGGCCTGCATCTTTCAAGGACTCGAATGGAGACGGATGGGGCGACCTTGGCGGCGTGATCGAATCATTGGACTACATCAAAGACCTCGGAACCAACATTATTTGGCTCTCACCGATCTTCGACAGTCCTCAGCATGACATGGGATATGATGTGTCAAATTACGAGGAGGTTTACTCTCGGTTCGGTTCCGTCTTTGACGTCGAAGCGCTCATCAAGGGCTGCCACGTGCGCGGAATGCGTCTCCTCCTGGATCTAGTCGTGAACCACACCTCTGACCAGCATCAATGGTTCAAAGACTCACGATCATCGAAACAGGACCCGAAGCGGGATTGGTATATCTGGAAGCCGGCAAGATATGATGAAAATGGGAACCGTCATCCTCCGAACAATTGGCGATCGAATTTCAGCGGGAGTGCGTGGGAATGGGATGAGGCGACGCAGGAATACTACCTGCACCTCTTCGCCAAAACACAACCGGATCTCAATTGGGAATGTGTCGCGATGCGGCAGGCGGTGTATGACAGCTCAATGAAGTTCTGGCTTGACAAGGGCGTGGACGGCTTCCGAATCGACACTATCACCATCTATAGCAAAGACCCATCCTTCCCGGACGCTCCAATCCAAGACAAGGATTCACCATGGCAACTAGCATCCTGCCACTACCGGAACAAAGCGAGAAACTTCGAACATATCGCCGAGATGAACGAGAAGGTCTTGTCTAAGTACGATTGCATGACTGTGGGCGAATACGGCCCGACGTATGACACAGATCTGGCTCTGAGATACTGCAGCGCCGCGGAGAAACGCATTGACATGGGTTTCCAATTCGAGACAGTGTATACCGGGTTCGGAAAAGTAGACAAATTCAAGGCTCAACCGGTCGCCATGGGCGATTTCAAGGGCAGTCATGCAAAATGGCAGAAGTTCATCGAAGGGAACGATGGGTGGACTTCGGCTTTCCTTGAAAACCACGACCTACCACGGTCGGTCTCTCGCTTTGGGTGCGATAGCCCTGAATACCGCGAAGTCTCAGCGAAACTCCTCGCCATGATGGAGGCGACAGCCACTGGAACTTTGTTTATATACCAAGGTCAAGAACTCGGCATGACCAACATCCCGAAGGACTGGACGATCGACGACTACCAAGACCTCGAAGCCCAAAACTATTATAACGCAGTCAAGGCTGCAACCGGCTGCGATGGGAACGCTCTCGCGAGCGCCATGGGCGGTCTTAGGCAGGTCGGAAGAGACCATGCCCGAACACCTATGCAATGGAGCAATTCTCCGAATGCAGGTTTCTCATCGGTCAAACCTTGGATGAGAGTGAACGACAACTACCGGGAGATCAATGTGGCGGATCAGCTAGCTGATAAAAACAGCGTTTTGTCCTTCTGGAAGACCCTGCTCAAGCTGCGACGGAAAAATATTGGAGTTTTCGCTCATGGTTCTTTTACATACGTGGATGACAGCCCGCTGGTAATGACGTATGAAAAAAGTTCAACGGTGAAGTGGCGCTGGTGATGCTCAACTTCACGTCTGAGAGCCAACCAATTCCGTTGAGGGAGGAGTGGACATCGACTAAGCCACTGATCGGCAACGTTGATAAATCAGAGGACCAGAAGCTGGGACCTTGGGAAGGCAGGATCTACGTGAAGTAGATATCAATGCTAGACGAGAATGTTCACATAATCCCCTATTAAGCAAGCATACGATGCTTTCTTCCTCCACCGTTAGCTTGAACGGGGGAGACTTGATAAGAGATAGTGTTTCCACCGTGACGAGCCACGGGTGTGCGATGAGGTTGTCGACCTCGTTGAATTTATGGGTTGTATATATACTTTCGAAACGGGTCTCTTCCGCTCGACACCGTGCCCTTTGTGAATGAAAAGTCAAGCCTATGGGAAGTTGCTGGAGGTCAAACCAGAAACCCCAACTTATCCCCTTGGGAGATACACTAATTCCAACTTCGGTGACCTGCGCGTTTCTGACTAAAAGACCCAGTATGGATAGCCAGAAACCAATATTATCACAGACAATGCGCTATCCCTCTCACCCCGGGGTTTCACAAGCCCGACTAGCTCTCTGATGACGAAGTAGCGTATACTACCGCTGATAGATGTCACAATTTTGTTGGTTGCAAGCACCATCTCCACATTGACATTCATTGCCCGGGTTTGGGATTCAGAATTTAGACGTCATGGTGACTCATGACCATCTACCGTGCCGCACATGCCGCCACGGAGACTCAAGTGGGGGAAGCGTGCCAACGACGAGCCAGGGCACCTAAGCCCACTAGATGGCAAAGGGAATCCTGTAGGGCCACTGCGTTTCATTGTCAATGAAACCGTGCAATATTCATACCGATTATCTTTCCATTGCACTACTACTAAAGATTGACATAGATAGTCAGCTAAGGTATGAGTACCACAGGGCACACCTCAGCAGCATAGACGGCTGTTTACATGAGAAGGATACATAGTCAAGATTCAATAAGAACTCACCGACGACGAACGCCTCGATCAACTTCGCAAAGAAAAGAATGAAGATGCGTCTTGAAATGACGACAAGTGCAGCAATTTGCATCTTTCTGGAGCCGTAGAGATGTTTGCCGTATGAGAGGCGCGAGGGCGCAGTGGAGTGAAAATCCGGGATGAAATGAGAACATGCAAACTCTTCAGGGACGCAATAAGTGAACGGCAGATTTGCGGTTTCTCAGCGATTGTATTATTCGTTGAAATTCCTTGTCAAGGAGTGACAAACCAGACATCTTGTCGCCTAATCATGTGAGCTCTTTCTATCGGGTCAGGGTAATGAACATATAAAAACTGTACATAGCTGAAAAAGCAGTATATGGAATCTTAGTCTCTGGTGTTCCCGGATACAATTACCAACCCTCGGCAATTCAAACACAGGCAGCCGCAAGTCGGCGATAAGCTCGGGCAAACGGCCATAGGAACCAAGCAAGTGGGCAGCGTCCACGCTTGCCCGCCATTTCGGGGAACGGACCTTGAGCAGACTGGAGCATACCTGGTTACAGAGATAATATATCGGTTTAATCAAACATCAGATAAGACATGAAAACAGCAAAAATTCTTATCTGCAGCGTTGAGTGCCGAGATGACGAGGAACTAAGCCCATGGGATCAGAATCTATGTGCTTTAGACCTGGGCTCAGATGGGCAACCAATTAAATTTCGACGTTTCACGGTGTAGTCCGCGTTGGGTGGAAATTAACTCTAGTACACTCTAGATGTATGGAGAAGATCCGTGCTTGCTTTTTCATGAATGAAAAGGGCGCTAGTCATCCGACAACGACGTCTGTCAATTCCTCCCTAGCTAAAAGCGCAAAGCGATTGATGTCGATTTATAGCGTCCTGGCAGATGGTTGGAACAAGCGAGGGAGCTATTCTCAATAGCAGCCGCGCCCTTGCATATGAGCCTTACACAGAATGCTATTTGGTTAGATAATGTGGTGTTTCCGCTTCTGTTAAGGAGGAACGAATGTGGGGGGATTGTAAGCGAGCTGGCGGCTCACGTGGTGCTTTTTGACGGTGCTTATGTCATCGGTTCGAGGAATGGTCACCAATAGTATCCCAACATGTTATCGCTACCAGCAATCTTGGATAATGACATGATAAAGTCACCGTTGGCCTGATTTACCTCCAACCAAACACCACTGCCATTAAATACCGAGCATTGCCTAAAATGCAAGCAAACTCTTCTGGAAGCAGCCAGCCCATGCGGCACTATCGATCGAGAAAGCAAAAACCCTGCGATCTCTGCCGTGAGAGGAAGGCACGTTGCGTTCGTGGCGTGGGAGGTGACTGTGTACTGTGCAGTAATCGCGACAGACGGTGCACCTTCATCTCAAAGCCCTTAATACGGCATTATCCATCCCGTCCCGTCGGAGCAGTGAGCTTGCTTGACAGCAATACTGACTCCGCACGGGAGGTGGAAACGGGGTCACTACCACATGACAGTGCTGCTAGCGTAAGCAATTTGAGAGGCCACAGCCAACACGTGGACCTTGAAGCGGCTCAGTATGTTGGATTGAGTGCAGACTGTGATCCCTTCATCCTTGCGAATAGCCCTTCCCAACAGCCCAGATGTCGTGGCAGCAACGAATGGCGCTCACAACGAATGGGTCACGATTCTATCATGCCAATCTCTTTTACTGTAAGTTAGGCCTTCGCGAGTAGTCGTACCCTTACGCTGACTGGGTAACAATAGCTACTCCGAGACTCATGCCCCACTGCCAGTCTTGACGACCGTATGAGGCGAGTCGAGGAAATCGTTGGAAGAAAGAGAGAAACTTTGGTGACTACATTCTTTGATAGTATCCATTCCGCCTTTCCGCTACTCGACCGCGACCATTGCTTGGCTCATAATCCCAGCCCCTATCTTAAAGTGTCTATGTACTTGCTAGCACGTCTCTATTGCCCTGAAGCTGGGGACATAGATCCGAGGGTGTTGGTGGACACCTATATTTGGATGCGTCCCATCGTCACCCAGAGACCTCGTCTAGAGACCGTAGAAGCGGCAATTCTTTTCTCACAGAGATTCGACTTGGCGATCCAGTAGGTAGCGCTCTTTTTCACCATTGATTCTATGGTCAGATCGCTAAAGAACCTAGTGGATGCAATGTCTCTGGTGTGTGGTCTGAAGTAGGAGCTGTGAGTACGAGATACCGGTTGACTGTCTCATATGCTGACCAAAGGATTATGAACAGCTTGTGGGTCTAGGACAAGAGCTGGGTCTAAATGTTGACTCGTCAAGTTGGAACCTCTCATCCCAGGAAAAGGGACGAAGGAAACGGTTATGGTGGGCTATTTACATCATTGATAAGTGGTACGCTTTAATATCTACTGTGTCCGCACCTTGTTTGCTAAGCTCATAAAGGTCAGCGATGACTCTTGGACGGCCGTCTTACATTCACGACGAACAGTACAATGTCCCTATGTTGTCGACATCAGACTTTTCCACCCAAGACCTTGCGTTGCAGGTAAACGTTGATGCACATGATCTTGTACAGCCCATGGGGATTACCTGTTTTCGGGCGATGGCTACCCTTTCTGTCATCCTTTCCGATTTACTGAAAGCCTTATATACCTTAAAGTCCGTCGAGTTCTTAAGAGATAAGTCAGCAGAGTTTATCCTCGGCATAGCAGAGCCTATAATAAACTCTCTTTCTGATTGGCGGACACGGTATCTTGAGCCCCTACTGATGAGAACTCCATTTCCCGACGTCACAGGTAAAGAATATGCTAAATACTTATTCGCGATGCTCTTACTGAGGGATTTTAAGGGACCGTTGAGCTAGCCTATTATACTGCCGAGATCATGCTCTGTCGCGCTATCTACCCGAAGCTATACCGAAGAAGGTTTGATACCTCATCTTTCTTGGAGCGTGCAGTCAGTTTCACATCAAAGGTTGCCGACCTGGTGCAGAATCTTCCGCTCAGCAGGGCAAGCGTGTTTTGGTGGTCCTGTAGGTAGATTCAGGTAACACGGATGTTCTTACTCGGCTAAGGTGTTCACTATTTAGTCTCTGCACTTAATCTCACTATTTGTGGGACTTTTATGGTGAGCATGATGCGTCTCTCACCTGATAGGGATTTCGTGGACCTTTGGAAGAACCGTGCCTCTCATTATCGAATGGTCCTGCGGGCACAAAGTGGAAGCTTTAACAGCGCAAAATTCGCACAGGCAAGACTGGATGTTATCCTACGTGGAATAGACTTTGATAAGTCTTGGGCTGATTATCGTCATTCTGACATCGATCAGCTCGAAACCACTCACAAAATCAATGTGGGTTCGCTAAAGGAGACGAGTATCGATACACCTTCTGCGAACTCCACGGCAAGTTACACAACACTCTCTGATTTGATACTTCATGAAGCGTACATTGACATGGACTGGCCCTCTGATACCAATCCATTCTGGCCATCGACCTTTTAAGCGTACTGGTTTATTGAGGCACTCAGGATTCTCAGTGGCGGAGCTTTATGGCTGCTGAACTCATACCGTTTCAACAGGTTGGCCGCATCTGAACGGTTCCGCCTCGATCTCTAACCTTTAACTGGCTACATCCTCTTTGAGAGATGGCAATCGGTTCTCGACTTGGGCTGCAATTTCAGGAATCGATCCGCACGACTGTCGGAGCCGAATGAGAAGTGCTCAAAGAGGGCCGGTGTCGACTCTTGTACTAGGGCGATTGGGGCTCCTACATCGCCGAGAGGCATCGGACTACAGGGCTTGAAGCATACCCAACCGCCAAGAGGTTTCCTTCGGCTATATCTTGCGGTCGCTGACGGAGATGACCACGTCGTTTCCGACCAGGGACCACACGATAAGCTATACCACGCTCTTAAATTGAAGGGCTTTGCCCCTCTTGGGGTCATGCATGGGGTCGGCTTTTTTCAAGCATAACCGTTGTATAAAGGCCAAGAAAGGTGGAAAGAGGTATCGGGCTATGTATATAGTTTAAATTCCAATGGGGACCTTGACCTGCATCTTCAAGAGTAGAAATATTGTGCAGTAACCCATGGAAGTCAGTGCGCTAGGTTTGTTGTACCATGCATATCTGATGGTGTATTAAGGTCTTGCTCGGTGTCGAGGCCCTTCCAGATTCTGCATTGTTGGCCTGGGGAAGTATAAGACTTTCTAGAGGAGAAAATTGTATAGCCCCACAAGCACAAAGTCAGTAATAGGGATTTGAATGTTTTAAGGTGCGGACTTCTTTGCTACCCTCGGGACAGGCTATGCGCGAGTTCCATAATGAGGATGTATAAGTAGGTAGGTGTTGCCACACAATTTATTCACTTCCAACTGTTTAGCTATCTCGAACAACGCTAAAGTCATCAAGGAAAGTTGTCAAGATCGATCTCTCATGCCAGGGATTTGGTTCGCTCGTTGGTTCTATGAGCCATACTTAGTGTTATCGCTGAGAACTTCTTTTGTGTGAGAAGGTATCGACATCGATGGGCGGATCAAGTGGGCGAGCAGTGGTACGAAGTGTATCGTGGGAGCCACGCACAAGCACACCAAGACCTAGAGGATGGATTTACAATACCCACTGCTTTTCTTTGACCCAGGGCGATGAAAGTTTTGATGAGTGCGTGATCCTGCGTGGCGAAAAGTGCAAGGGGCTTCCTCATCTAGCCTGTGTGGAAGAGTGGCTAGAAAAGTGTAATACCAGATTCGCTCGTTTCTCACGACACCCTGTCGAAATGATGGAGCTTTGGCCGTGCTGATCCGCTCTCCATAATATGAGCTTGTGATACAGTAAGCTATGGTTGTTCAGATATGAAGTTGTTGGATACAAACGTTTAATCACGTGATGGCAGGGTACATGGGGCCCTTTCTGGATATTTGGCCGTGGCATTATCGGGCTATTTCGTCTCCTCCTACCAGAACTCGATCATGTACATCAAATTATAGATTCATACGCACCGCAACAGTCTTAGACTTTGAACAGATGTCGTACACGGTGGCCTTATGGTTTATTTGCAGAAGGTCTGAAGCATAGCAAAGGCCGAAGACTGCATCGTCCAACTCTCTTGAGGTCGCAAGACCCTTTTTGTGTCCTTCAGTGACGGAAGAGAAAAGACGATGCGCAATCTGGATGCAGAGGATAATGTCTCCGATTGAGAAACCAAATGACATAGGGATCGAAGGCGGTAGGTGGCCATGGCACAATCACCCATATGCGCCACCTTGGAGGTGGGGAGGTACGTGGCAAATAAAAAGAAAAACGTGGCTCTAATAATTCAGCGTTCATTGATGTTGCATAACAATCATGTGATGAGCCCCAACCAATTGCGACGCAGGCGGGGATATCCTCACCCTTTTCATCGAGCAACCACTGGCCAGGATGAACGCAAATGGAATCTCCCGGGTGCGGCAATATAGGTCGCGTCGACAAAGACCGTAGGGGATCTCGAGCCAAACGATATTCAGGCCATGCTAATGCAACCGAAAGGTGTGACAATTGCCGGCGGCGCAGAGTGTGTTGTTTGCGCAATGAGGACGAATCGTGCTCTCTATGTCGCAGCCGGGGCTTACAGTGCACGTTTGTCTCTTCGCCAAATCCCAGGAACTGTACAACCGCAAGAGGAAAGGAACAAATCGTCGATGCTGTTCCCAGAAAATCACCTTTGTCGAAGGATAAGACCATTGCCAACAAGACGGCTGAAAACAACACCACGGGCCCCTCCGAGACCTTACAATATGTTGGCCTGACTGGAGATCAGGACCCTTTCATCCTTCAATACTGTAAGACAGATCGAATCCAACGTATCGATGGGATCCAATGGACTTGGCATCGTCTGAGCAATGATCCACAACGCCCGGCAAGTTTCACGGCAGTCCCTGACCAGCACCTCGATGCCCGCCCCAGTTATTATCCCCTGACTACTATTCGTGAAATGGCGTCGCCTCACGTTGATCAACTAGTGAACGCTTTCTTTGAGGGGATTCACCCTGCCCTCCCGATACTAGATCCTCAATCATTTAGGCACTCGGCCGCACCATCCACACTTCTCGCATCCATTTTTGCGCTCGCACACCCCTATTGCGTCGAGGCACAAACATTTGATCCCTGGGTATGGATGGATTTCAATAGTCAGGCCCTACCGATCGAAGCCCGGAACGCCAAACTTGAGACAATCGAGGCAGCACTTCTGCACGCACAAAGGCATACGTACATTTTCCGGGCTCCAACAATGCCTGGATTATGGACTGATGTGGGCTCGATCGTAGGCATGAGCCAGGACGTGGGCCTGAATATCGATGCGACAAATTGGGATATTCCAGAAGACCAGAAAAAAAGGAGAAGGAGACTTTGGTGGGCGGTATATATGCAGGACAAGTGGACAGCTCTTACTCTTGGTCGACCATCTTATATCCATGATGATCAACATGACGTGGAGCAAGTAGAGGTCACGGATATCATTCCTGATCCAAAAGCAAGCCCACGCACAGAATTACTTCCTGCCCAAGTGTTTGTCGCAGCTGCTAGGCTGACTAGTATACTCGCCGACATTCTATCGCAGCTTTACACTGTCAAAGCAGCCAAGATGCTCCCCACATTAGGAATTGAGGAATGCAGTGACATTGCCAGTGTGTTCATAAGTCGACTTCGTCGATGGAAAGAAGATTATCTCACTCCTCTGATTGGGAACGATACCATGCATGATCCGACAGGTACGGAGACCTGAACCCGACCTGCTGCTTTCCCCGCTGACGCTTCTCAAAGGTAACTTGCAGCTACTATACTACACAGCGGAAATTACTTGGCTCCGGGCATTACTCCGCACAACTGCTGGCCCTCAGTTTCGGCAACGGTCCGCAGATCTTATCTCAAACGTCATTGACTGGTTGAGGAACCTTCAAGTCAATTGCCTATCAGGGTTCTGGTGGATGAGTATGGCATATGCATTATTTCCAGTTTCTGGCCGCTAATATCCAGGATTTTAGGTTCTAGAATCAGTTTTGCCGTTGCAGGAGGGTTTATAATCGGCATGTTGCTTTCCGCAGCAGATGAGGAAGATATGGATTATTGGACGAAGCAGATCAACACCTACCGGAACCTACTCAAAGCGCATTCGGTGAACTTCAATTTCACCAAGCTAGCATCTATCAGAATCGATCTTATTATCCAGCAAGATCATTCTGAAAATGTCGAAGGGGGCATGACCCTCATTCAAAAGCCGCAAACACCAGACACTCAGAATTTGGTTGGAAGCCAAATCCAGGAATCTCCATCAGTGATGTGGCCAGAGGCTGATGTGAATCCTGGCCCCTTTACAACAAATCCATTGCAGGACAGCTTCCCAATGGATCCCATGGTGGCATTTGGGAACACTTACGGACTGGAATGGGAATTTCATGTTGACTTAAATGGGCTTTTTACTGATTAAGTAAGTTATAGCCTCTAGGCCATTGAGTCGTGAGATTGAGACTGCTTGTTGGGTCACATTGCTTTATCCTCAACTGATCACCTAAACCTACTTCTCTGAATCCTGAGATTCACCCACATGCGTCAGTGCCTTTGGTAATATTTATAGGGAATTGCTACTCCCACCACCCCCCTCGCTACTCCCACCACCCCTAACCTGAATTACCAGGCATTTTATCCTAAATAGGCTTAGATCAATAAACCACTTACCGCCTTATCCACCGCTTTAGGTCTTCTCCTAAGTCTCCATATCAACCCAGCGAGAGCCATCAGCATTCGAGTATATTCTACCGCCGCAGGAAGGAGGCCGTGGAGGCTGTGGAGGCCGTAGAGGTCGCGAGGGGCGGTCGCGAGGGGGTAGTGGTCGTCGCGTCGGCGTCAGAGGGCAGAGGGTCCTGCGTAGTAGTCAGCGTGGAGATCAGGAGATGCTGAATAATCAGGATAGACGTATCTGATTGGATGCTGGATATTCATGAATGTGGGTGGTGTAATTGAGCGGAGAGAGAGCGAGTTAATGCACCAAAAAACAAGTGGATTTACCAAGCAAATTGGAATTAGATAATGAAAAGGGGATGGCTCGATGGCTGTCTGACAATACAGACTGGGCAACAGCAACCAACGAACAACACACACACAACCTGCACGTAGTAGAGGTCGTCCTAGGGGAGGTCGCGAATGTCCTTGGTGAGGCCGTGAGGTCGTACGTGCAATCCTGGACGCAGCAATCCTAAATGAGGCCGTACTGTTTTTCCCGGCTGAGCCCGTATGGAATGTACTTAATATAGCATGTTGAATGAAAGAATGTAGTGAAAACTGGAATGAATTGGGTAGATGCCTCCTCTTCTCTCTATCCTCATGTAGAAGCTGCTGCTTACACCTAAGGTATTCGTGACACCTCAGGCCGCAACTTTATTCATTATGTCATGCGTTCCACCACTACAATAATTACGTAGACACCTATAAATTGAGGCCGGAATCTGCTGGCAGAACAAATTGATACCTTAGCTCTAAGGCAGGGGTGGTGGGAGTAGCAATTCCCTATTTATATTGGCACCCGCATTTGTATTGTGTACCTTCGTGACATTGGCCCCAATTCCAGTTGATGTGTATCCGCGGAATTTCCTAGTCGGCAATTTGAGAGCGAACATTTCATCCAACTCCTCCAGACTTCTGCCTTTCAATTCTGGCAGAAAGAAGAATGCCCACAGAAGTGCTAGGAGTGAGCATCCACCGTACACAAAGCCGATGCGAGCCCCAAGGTTCCCATAACCAGGGTCCTGCACGTAAGGATTGATATAGGTGATCAGGAGGACCATGCAGAAACTGACAAAAGTTGCTGTCATGATCGTCTTCTCTCTGACTGCTGCGGCAGCTACCTCTGAAGTAGTAATCCAGGTACAGCTGCCCCAGCAGCCTCCCGCAATTGCTTGATATATTAAGATGGCAGCAACGCATCCTTCAGCTTTAGGGCCATGGACGTCAGTGTACGCACCAAGACCGGCGACAACCCACATAAGAAGGGCCATGAAGAAAGAAGACATAATTAAGATAGGACGCCGGCCTATTTTATCGGTGAAGTAGAAGGCTAGAGTAATGCCACCAAGCTGCGTGGCGTTCTGGGCAATATAGATTTGTAGGCCATTCTGAATGCCAATGCGTTCCAAAAAAACCACAAGGTAGTTGTTCATGAAAGAATTGCCTTGGATTTGTTGCATTAGTTGAACAACGACTGCAATCAACGTCCGGCGAAGGTTGGAGCCACGGAAGCAGTCAAGATAGGTGGTAGTTGCTGCCAGCTCTCGTTGTTCCTCCAACGCGGTTTGGATGAGAGAAAGCTCAAGTGAAACATCAGAAGGGCTAGCTTTGCCTTTACGAAAAGAGGCTAGGGCTGATTTGGCGTCCTCATGGCGATTCTTCATCAGTAGCCATCTAGGATAAACTTTAATCCACGCGCACAGGCAATTTGGTGATTTCAATGACCGACCTTGGTGATTCAGGCATGAACCATACACCACAGATAAGGATTAATGGCACGGAAGCCTGCGCAATCATGACGGGTTTGTACTGCCACTGTCCTGTTAGATGCTTTGAAGTGCCGTAGATGCAGCTAGCAGATATGATGTTGCCAACGATCTGCCACCACTGGTAGAAATTCACGAGAGAACCCCGAATGGCTGGGGGAGCTAGCTCGGCGCTGTAAGTCGGAATAACATTGGCTTCCATTCCCATTGAGATGCCGTTGATGGTACGACCAACAATCAAGCCCCAGTATGACTTTTTTGTGAGCAATGCGTATGTCAACAAGGGAGAGAGGAGCGGCTGGATAACTTACAGGAACAGCGCACTGAATCACCACACCAATGATTGAGATAACAGATAATACGACAATCGTTTTTTTCCGTCCTATGTAGGCATTGCAGTAGCCAGCGGCAATACAGCCGATCGCCATACCCGCACTGGGCGTACCAGTACCCGCAGACTGCCATGACGCAGGTATAACCTTAGCCTTTCCAGGGCCAGGTGAAACGCCATAGTTATCTGCAAACTCTTGCAGGCCTAGGCAGGAGGACCACCAAGCAATGTCAAAGCCAAAGTTCTAAGAAGCACGTTTAATATAAAATCGCAAGCAGATTGGATAGGTCAGTGAACCTACAAAAGACCCAAACTATAAGAAAAGACATTAGCGTTCCATATGGCCATGAGTTAGAGACATAGTAGAGAGATTCCAGGGAAGTGAAAGATTGGGGAGCGACTTACCGAAACAAACAGATAAATTCCGAGCACGCGCCACGTCAACTCTGAAAACATGTTCTGTTTAAGGAAGTTAGGAAGCCCCATATTGATCACCCGTGCAGGCCGAAGTTGGAGCTGCTTGTGGATAGATTCGATCACATACTGCTACGAAGCGAGATGCAGAGAGTCTATATAGTAGTTCAAAAGTAGATAACGATCAAGTGTGGCAGATTAGAAGTCCCATGAATAGCAAATGGTTTCGTGCGCTTTCCCGCAATCCGGAAGATAAATTAAGAGTTGCGCAACGCGCAACCGGCAAAGGGGCTCATGTTCCCCGCCCGTCGGCTTCTGGTCCCGGAGAGGAGATAACGACCAACCTTGGTTGCCCACTCTCCTCATTTCGAACTGTACCGAGGTCGGCATAGGCGGCTGATGGGCAGCGCTTCTCGTATGGCATGTTGTCCTTGCGCGTTGCGGTCCTTTGCCGCAATGCCGAAGATAAAAAACCTGTATGCCAAGCCAAATGGGCGATATGAAATATTTAAGCACCGCGAGGATTCAATGGCTCATTCGACGGAGGAAAGACGTGAGCTCAATAAGCCACCTTAACATGGCTTTTTTCAAAAGAGAGCCTGATGAGCTTATCAATCGTGAGCAAGCTCATTCCATAGGCTCAGCACTCCACAAAAGCCCAATCTGGTGGAAGGAAGCTAGCGTCTATCAGATCTACCCGGCATCCTTCTGTGACTCTAATGGCGATGGTATTGGTGATCTCCAGGGCATCATCTCTAAGATTCCCTATCTCAAGTCGCTTGGTGTTGATATAGTGTGGCTATGTCCGATTTACATGTCCCCGCAGAGGGACATGGGCTACGACATTTCTGACTATCGCGCCATTTATCCCCCATATGGCACTATGAATGACTGGCGAGTGCTGAAAAGGGGGTTGAAAGAGGTCGGTATCAGAATAATCATGGACCTGGTCGTGAATCACACCTCTGATGAGCATGAATGGTTTGTTGAATCAAAATCAAGCAAGGACAGCGACAAAAGGTCGTGGTACTATTGGCAACCTCCCAAGTATGATGAGTATGGTAGTCGTCAGCCTCCCAATAATTGGAGATCATTTTTCGGTGCCGAGTCAGCTTGGGAATATGATGATACTACTGGCGAGTACTATTTGCGCCTCTTCACCAGAACCCAGCCGGACCTTAACTGTGAGTTATATCAATACTTCTTTGTAACGGTGTGAGGGACTCGAAATTGCATGTGGACTGAGATCGAGATGAATATAGGGGAGAATCCAAAAGTCCGCGAAGCGGTCCAAGACATCATGAACTTTTGGTTAGAAGAAGGAATCGATGGCTTCCGCGTACGTAAACCATTATGTCTTGCCTTGCCAATTTGTTCAATAGTCAACTGACCTCTAATTTTGATAGATTGATGCGATCAATTACATCGCGAAAGCGCCCAGGTTTCCCGACGCGGAGGTCATCGAGCCCTCGGCATCCCATCAGCCAGCCATGCATTTGTACCTCAACAGACCGAAGTGCCATGAATATCTACGCGAGCTCGGCCAGCGAGTTCTGGGCAAATACGATATCATGACTGTTGGTGAAACTCCCCATGTGGACGAACCCGACATGGCCCTACAGTATGTTCACCCTTTGCGGGAAGAGTTTTGTATGATCTTCTCGTGGGAGCACATGGATATCGACCGCATCCCTGGGACCATGCTTGGCTGGCGGGAGTTCTCTCTAGCGACTTTGAAGGGCATTGTGAACAAATGGCAGACAGCAATGCAAGTGCACGGCGGTTGGAACAGCTTGTACCTGGAAAACCATGATCAAGGCCGGAGCATCTCGCGGTTTGGAAGCGACAGTTCTGAATTTCGATGGCTATCAGGCAAGCTACTCTCGATGTTTTTGGCAAGTCTTAGTGGAACTTTGTACGTGTTTCAGGGACAGGAAATTGGAATGATCAACCTGCCCCGCGAATGGGGAATTCGGGAGTACACCGATGTTGTTTCCGAGATGCACTATCGGCAAGAGAAAGAAAAGAAAGGAAAGACGGTGGCGGAGCAAGACATGGAGGATGTCATGGATGACATACAGAAGAAGGCGAGAGACCACGGGAGGACGCCGATGCAGTGGTCCGGCACACTGCCACATGCCGGGTTCACGGCAAGCGTACCGTGGCGCAAGGTGAACCCTGATTACAGGGTTTGCAATGTGGAGAGTGCAGAAACCGATCCGAACAGCATTCTGGCGTTCTGGAAACAAATGATACAGCTGAGAAAACGGTGGAAGACGCTGGTATACGGCGATTTCATATTGTTACACCCCCAGCACGAGCAGCTTTTCGTATACAAACGCACCTTGGTTGGAACTTGTGATGCCTTGATACTGTTGAATTTCTCCGACCAAGAGGTGACCCTTGATTCGGTACTTGTGTCGACCATGCACCATGCCCACCTGGTGCTAGGTAACTACGAGAAGGTGGTAAGTGTCTGTGTACTACGACCATGGGAAGCGAGGCTATGTCGTATGGGTGACGCTCTTTGAAAAGGTCATATCTATACCAACTACCTTGATCTTCAATGATCTTCAATGATCTTCGATACGATACTATATCTCCATAGCATCCAAACTATTTCAATTTTTTTTCCAATTCATTATTGTCCTTCCTCTTTCCTGTCCTCTCTGGCTTTAACACATACGTATTCGACCGTGTTGACCTGGCTGCATTCTAGTTTACGGGCCATTACCTGCAATATTCTCAGCGACTCGTTCATCCCTGGGGCAAGAAAGAGACCGTGATCCCAAGTTAGATTATTTTCAAAAGCCTGAATCACTCCCTTACTAGTAGCATTCAATGTGCTTTCTTCTTCTGAGCCAACCTCACGGTCGCACTCTATCCTGCGCTATCTTTACAGACCAATCTCGAGTATGTGATAGCCGTGCCTTCCACCGACCCACACAATAACGCATAGCAAGTTAACAGTTTATTGTCATTGCATTAGTTTCACAAAGAACAAAGCTGACACGGAAGATTAGTGTACACATAAATATTAAGTTTTCAAGTCAATTGCGATACGCAGCAGTTCACTGAACAAAGCCGCAAAAATAGTCGCGAGAACTGAGCCATTCGTCATGGAAGACTAGCAGTCGTGTTATGTGACGATAGTCATGTACAATATAACAGCGTTAGAAAGCGACACGCCCTCTGACAAGAGCTCGACTAGGCCAGGAGAGACATTGTCAACGATATGGAGCCAGTATGGGCGTAGGAAGTTGTCCATTGCAGATATGGCTTGAACTTGGCGGAGACAGACTGCATTCAGCGGAAGAAACAGCGAGTTCTTCATGGTTGGCCTCTAATTCCACTCCTTACTCACTTAACAGCTAGAAACCATTGGGAATGCTGCTGTCCAGCAGCCGAATTGCTGAATCTCAGAGGCACCGCCGACGGTAACCAAGAACAAGGGAGTTCTTCAACTCTCTCATCAATACTGGCAAGGAAGTAGATTGGCTTGTTGAAGATTAGCTGTTGGCTACCCGCGGCATCGAGTCACTTTGTCGGCCAGTTATAGGGATTCGTTGGATCAGCGTCCCATTTGCAGATACCTTGATCATCTAGCACGCCTTCGTTCCCGCTTCCAGCTTCGAGTTCGGAAGTTATAGATGCCATTGAGGGAACTTTCTCTCTGTGGCTTTCACTGGGCAGGTGAACGTTGATATGATCTATGATGCAGAATATATGGATAAAGTTTCTAGAGGTGTTAAAGAGATAGACTTGACAGAGTTTATTGAGCTGGTAACAGACCAAAAGCAATAGGAAAGGGATTTACTTTATAGGCAGAGCCGAAGTCTAGATATGATAGTTCTGATAGGCGGAGGAGAGATCGTGGAAATCCTTAGAATGGATGGCATACTGGGGATTTATAGTAGCGTGGAAACTCAAATTACGTAGCTCGGTGTTTGTTAATATTCTTCTGGCTAATTTGAGCTAGGTAGACCAACAATTCCAATGATACGGGGCCTAATTAATAGCAGAATCTGAGTAGGTTCTTTAATTTCAAAAGAAAGCAGATAATCTGGCATTAATAGGATAATAATCTTAATTTTAAAGTGATAAATAAGTAGATTAGGCTCTGGGCATTAGTGCTAAGCGCCAATTCTTAAGCCAATTTCGAATACGACTATATAACTGATTAAAATGTTCGTGGGAAACGGACCAGTGAAGGACAGCCAAAGAGATTAAATAGTATTATAACATTGGCTTTTAACCGGAGTCTAAGCTAGATATAGTGCTTAGGTCTCCTTAAGTTCGCCGCTCTCCGTTAATTTACCACTCGCTTTTAATTCACCACTTTTTAAACCCGATTTGGTATAGGCCTTCCCTAAATTGGCTCTTATCTATGTCTAACCATTTTTTATAGAGATTTAACGGCCGTTATCAAAAAACACGTAATTATACTATGTCCGGGATTAAAAGATATCGAGACACTTAGTTAGGTGAATTAATGCAAACACTAGAGGTCAACGTAGGTAAGTGATCGATAGCGGACGCATAATGACATAAGAACGAGTAATAGATTTAGAGCGAGTAATTAATTATTACCGAGCGATGACTTAAGACTATTTATGAATTAGAGCAGAAAATTTTCTATAATTGAGTGTTATCCCTTATTTAGGGTGAAGACGCGTGTATTGAAGAATATGCAATCTTATACTACTACTATACTAAAAAGGAAAATATTGACATATAGATAGTGGTCGCTTATCATACCCGTGTTGTATTACCTACTTCTATAATAATCCCTATAATATCGATATCCTTCCACGAAGCTATAATAACCTCGAATTCCTATGGTTTTACTTGCTTTATAGCTTCTAGGCAGAAAATGTCCTTCTCTACTAGATTTGCCGTTAGATTAACGGTAGTAAAAACTTTCTATCGCCGCCAAAAAAATAAATATCGATATTTGGTAATAATCTTTTTCTTAGTGAATGATCCTTGTACGGCAGCTTCAGGCGAATAAGCTTTTCGTGCGTGAACTTTGATATCTCTTTTTTTTTCTAACTCTTAAAAGAGTTTCCGCGGATTATCTTTCTTAGCTATAACAAAGGAGATAAAAGGTCGTTACTAGTGGTCGTAAAATTTGCGTTTGTCTCCTCTCTTACGTTCGCGTAGATATGGTTAGCTGGACTACGTTAAAATCCTCCGTTTGTGTAGCTTTAACAAAGAAGGTACGAGGCTTCGTGTCTCCTCCTTAATTAGGCCGTAATAATAAGGAGAAGATGAAATTTCACCTCGGAGAAACTTCTTATTTAACTTAAGTAGAGCAATAAAACTAATAGACTAATTCCACTGTTAGGCGTCTTATGGGAGCTCGGCCATAGTGGATATAGTGTCTAGTATCAGGAACTAGAGAAATGGACTAATATTTAAAGAGCGCTAAAATATCATCAGAGTCCGTTCATCAATTATCAATATTATGATCAATCAACAGTCTCCCTCAATTCATCACTCTCCCTCAATTCCTCACTCTCCCTTGATTCCTCACTCTCCCTCAATTCCTCACTCTCCCTCAATTCATCACTCTCCCTCAATTCATCACTCTCCCTCAATTTATCACTCTCCATTAATTCATCACTCTCCCTCAATTTGTTTTCGAAGTAATTTCCCTAGCAATAGTCACAAATCTAAATTGTGGATGATAATACACCTTTACCGATGATAAAGATAAAACTTATCACTATTGTGGGAGTGGTGAATTGAGAATGGTGAATTAAATGTTGCCTCGTATATTTATTGATACCTAAGAGATTAGTGCGGGTATTTCATTATTTAATAATATCTACCACCGTACCTCTTTTCTTCCTCCCCCCTCTACATAGCTAGAAATTTGCTAAGTTCATCCCTCTGCTACCAATTCAAGGTAAGTCATCTAGGTCGCACTTTAGATACTACGTGTGACTCGGTTACTCTTACCTAATACCCTCATCCTATAGATGTATTCCGTAAAAGGAGTGCTTCGACACTAGGACCGTCGAATAAAGGCATCGTTCTGTATCGACGGCATTCTTTGCTCTCTCAGTGGTACCATATTATAAGCTGCTCCTTCTTTCCACGGCTTAGCTGTCTCTATTGCCTATAATTCCATGGCAGAGTTAACTGGCAGAAAAAAATCTTTTGAGGGGGTAATCGGTCCATATGATATTCGAATCACAATTAGAGATAGTGTTATCGTCTCGGGACAACTCAATAGACCCATAGATAGTGTAACTCAAATTTCTGGTAAATGTTTATAGGTTCAAATCTAAATTTTTTATGGTATGTATCATGGAGTGAACTTGTAATTCAATAAATCTTTATAAAATGCAAATAACTTTTCTTTACTATGGGTTCCATTGTGTAGTTCATCTCCGTAGCTAAGAATTGTGTGATTAGGAGGAATACACAAAGAAAAAGGTAACTATTCTGAGGAAGCGACCCACTAAAAATTCACTTACTGCTAGGTTAGTGCTAGGGACATAAGCTATATTTGCGAAAGCGGTATGGGCGGCTGAAAATCCAGGCATGTGCGGTGTACTATAAAGGCCAAACATTCAAGGAGCGCTTCCATCCTTATGGGTTGCCTGGCGCAGCACACGATTGAAAGAAAATAAATGACCGATCGCCTTAAGTCACTTCAGGAGCCCGACTCCCTTCCCTCGGCTTCAAAACGCCACACAAAGAGAAAGACGCTCAAACATAAGCTTGGCAATTTGTGGCAAATATGGCTTGCCAGCTTTTCTCCACTTTCTAGCCTGCGATCAGTCTATTATCACAGAAAAAGGTCGGGCAATCGCACGAAGATTGTCTATCGAGACTCCTCTTAACCCTTTTTTGATTAATAGCTTAGGAACTGGCTTGCAATCTAGCTTGGAGAATATTCTTAAGAATATGCTTCGGTTTGGTGATGACACGATTGTGAAGCAGGTGATTGAGCTTGTCAAAGGTGTCGCAGGTATCGCTATACTACCACTTTTGATCAGAGCGAATGACCCTAGTGGTCTGAAGTGGATCCTAAACAGTGAAAGCACGCATACTTCTAAGCCGTCACCAATCCTTTAGGTCTTACTTTGTGTCGGTCGTGTAGGGAGGCGGATACCACGAAGCTTTTCGTGGCGCGGGGTACGCTTTTGTAGATGCTTCCCCACCACGGACCGTAGGTCTATCCGACCAAGGAAGGCTTGATCGGATAAAGATGGAAAAGAATAAGATAGAGTGCAAAGGGCTTATGCACTCTAAATGAGCACAATCCACAATCCTCAAACAAAGGACTAAGAAGAAGGTCTTTCTAAGCAGATAGAAAGGGATAGTAGAATATTTGAAGAGAGTGAAAGGTCTGTCATTTCTACTTAGTGTCTCGCGCGTATTTATAGACAGAAAGTAGTCAAAGTCACATGCTTTATATCAGATAAACAGAATAGAATCAGGGAAGGAAATGTGATAGAACTGATGGCGTGATGAGGGATATGTCATCGATCTGGTGGGGTAAAGAGGGGTAAGCGGTTTGGAGGGGTAAATCATGTTCGTATCTCTTTCTTTTCTTCTTCTTCTTATGTTGAATAAGAGGATACCTTCACCTAATGTAGCATTGGTCCAAATTCCAACAGTAGCTACTGCTATTACTAAGTGAATATCGCTTCTATCTTATTAATAGCTTACGCTATATAACTAGCCTCGGGTGGCGGTACCTCAGGCTTATATATAGGCCTAGGCTATCGGATATAGATATAATACGATCCGAACTTACTACGGAAAAACCGCTAGTAAACGACTCGCTATATCGATCCCTCGCGTTTCTCTTCTCCCGTAGCGATTTCTAATAGCCGCGGCTTCCCCTAATAGCTATACGCGGAAAACTAATACGCCTTAGACTAATACACTCATATACTAGCGGCGCTACGATATATTTAGCTACACCTTATATATAATAATCCATCCTAATATATAGCTAACCCTAGAATAGGATATTCTATATATATAGGGAATATGGTATGGTCGTCGGCTATATCAGTCTATTGTTTATTAATAATATTAAATACTTACTATATGGTATCCTAACTACTATATGGTATCCTAACTGATCCGATAGTTACCTTTATAGGTTATTAAATACTGGATAATCTTCTAGGGCTTCACTACGTACTCGCACTAGCGATAAATCGTAATACCAAACTTAGTGTTACGAATAAAATATCGGTCGGCGATAGTATCTTCGCTTATATTATACGTAGATATATATCGAACCCTAATCGATACTAGGGCAATTAACTTACTAGAAATCCACGATAGCTCAAATAATGCTTAAATTAAAACTAGATACTATAGGAAACCCCTAAACCTAACGGCTAAATTGCTAATCAAAAAACCCCGCTTGTCTATTTGTGATTAATTATGTTTGTTAGTGCTAGCCGGGGGGGTATAATACTGTTAATGGCCCGGCGACCGCACCCTATTACAATAATTCCTGGATTTCTGACCCTAGTAACTACCACTATAATATATCAACTGGACTCGAAACTTAGGGAAATAAAAATTATACTATTAGTTTAAAATAATATAAATTTTGAATGGGATTACTCGGTGGGAACGTAATTATAATGAACTTTGAATATAACAAACCCTAATTGTAATCAACTCCTTGGGGAAACCCTAACGCCATATAAAAAAATGCTGACTAAAATGTAATGAACTTCATTACAATTACCCCCATGGGATAGCGCAGATGCAGATCCGGGAAAGTCGCTTGAAAGCATGCGAGTATTAAATGCCAAACCTTAAGCACTTGTTCAAGGAATTGAACAAAACTATGCGGTATCGAAATAGTGCTTCTCTCCTATCAGAAGAGCAAAGTGGTGTGCACGAGCTTGCATAGTCGGTCAACGGGCTGCAAGTTGGGACCGCTTCAAAGTCGGTGGACCAGTGAGCTGATCAGATTGGAGGGAAATGGCTGCATACGTCTTTCTATCTTATTCAGCTGATAGGTCTCAACCGTGTTATCGTTCAGATTCATGAGGGTGGAGCGGGTCACATGTAATGGACAAGACAGCCTCAAGACTAATAATCCTATGGAACTAGATTTGCGGCCCTCTGCAACAATATAGTAGAATTCGAAGTCAGATTGTCGTTCGGACTCAAGTTACGCTTTCTCTCCCAGCTCCCCACCCGGATCGCGCTATACTGAATTCGACCAAGATAGATATTTGTTTCAGATATAGCATTTCGAGTTTCTATTTGAAGAACGTCAAGTTTGTGGTTTGGAAACGAAGTTCATGTTAATTGTCACGTTAAGTTAATCTAATCGAAAATCATTCTGCAAGAGCGATATAGGAATCAACCAATGAGCTTGTCTTCTATTTTTGAAGTTTATCATAGTATGGCGGTAGTGCGAGGATGCTTTTTAACTAGCTATTTGAAGGATGGTGTCTGATGCGAAAATGCAGCCCCGTCCGTGTAGGTTCAAAATCCCCTTAGTAAACAAGGCGTTCATTACACAAGCGAGCGATATGGGTTGGTTGGAGCTGGTTTCTGCAGAGTAAGAAGCAGGAGATTACTCGATGCGGAGAACCGGGGAAGATCACTGCAACTCAGAGTTACAGTTGTATAAGTTAGCTCTTTAGGCTATTGGACGCTCTCAACAGCGATTTACCAGATAGTTTCCCAATCAACTCATTCAATCGACTCCCTCAGTACTAGGTGCTTTGGAACTCCTACGAATCATCAAATAAGATAGCTCAACCCAAGGGGGTCAGCTGCAATACTTCTCGATTAATATAGAGTTATATGATGAGCGCTTCCTCTGATACCTGTATCCTCTAAAGGAAGGTTATTTCTTTGCTGCGGAACTTGAAAATGTCGTCAACATGCCAGTCACCTCGTATGTTCTACTGGGACCTGTCCGGGTAGGCATCATATAAGCCATCGGCAATTCGAATATTACTAAAGGATGCTTCGCCCTCTCCATTTTGGAAGAAGCGAATTTCAGTCGAGTTCTCATACCAAGGCCTGCCGTACAGTCAGCTCACATGATTTCAAGTCAAAACAGAAAGCAAAATGGCGAAGAAAACATACCGAACCCAGGTAGAAAGTACAAAGCGAGAATTGGCATAAACCTCCAAGACAGAATTGTCGACCACAATAGTAAGACTTAAAGTTTCGATATGCTTTTTACCAGTGCCACTCAATTGAGAATTGCTGCCGTCATCTTCTGTCGTATGGTTTGACTTGCAGCCAATGGAACCATGGTCAGGTTGCTTGTCAACATCGTTTCCACCGCATTTATGGCCACCATGTGCGCCACAAGTATCCATAATGTCAAATAGACGAAGACGACCAGATTCTGGAGATTCATCTATGCCACTGGTGGTTAATGCAGCAGCACTCGTGTTGTAACGATTAATCATAATTGACTCATTGGAGAATTGATAATAGATTGTGGTTGATTCGAACTCAGATGCCAATATCTGGAAGCCGGTCTGCAGGTTGGGCGCGCGTGCAGTGAGGGTGATCTCAGCATTGAGAACAAAAAATCTGGTTTCCGGAGAGCGACGGAATGGTATGATGCCTCCAGTCGTTAGCGTCCGGCCTGGTTCGGTGAAGCTAGGAGCAGCAGTCATAGCATCGTAGGTCTCCCGCGCAATGTCAATTCCAAGGGTCTCAAGCTCAACGCAGTCGCCCGTTGAGGTGGAGTTAGCGGCCACGCGCCACGAGCCAGTCTCCTGCACGAGAATATTATTGACCACGTTGGGGATAGTCTTGACGTACAACTCGCGCGGCAGCAGCAACGTGTTTTGCCATCCTTGCTGCGCAGCTGGGAAGCCCACGACTCCTCCGAAGACATCCCCTGTCAACCAGACATAGCTGATGAATCGGTCTGGGGCGCTGCTGCTAGTGGATGCCTGAGAAGACTTGGGCAAGAATTTACCCGCTGCCGCATATGATGATAATCCCCAGTCAAAAACACCAACCATATTAGGAACAAATTCCACGTTTTCACCCTCGGCGGTTGAAAGCCCTCCTGCTGCCCAAAGCTGAGCATGTAATGAGGAGACGGATGGCTGTATAGGAACATATGAGCTTTCCACGGCGATTGTCATGAAAGGACTACCAGTGTAGCTGTATCCCTCTCTATCAAGACCGAATACGTTGCTGGTCTCCCAATTGTAGCCGAAAACCTTAGACCAGTCCCCATTACCCCACGTTGAATTAGCAGGCTCATGAAACCATTCTCCAAGATACTGCCACTGCTCATAGTCGGGGCTCGTGTTCTGGTAGAGGAACATGCCAGGCCCGATGTTATGAAGACCACCTGAAATGATTGTGTACCAAGTGCCCTCAGCATTATCTAGGGATTGATCAAGTTCCACATTTTGAAAAACATAGGGGTCGCGGAAGCCGGTAACGTCCAGGCCAGCTGGAGGCTCAGGAATGACCGGAGGAATTTGCAGCTTGGTGAAGTTCTTTCCCCCATCGTAGGTGACCGCCAGAGATTGAGACTCACTTCCTCGAACATAAGGAAGGGTCCAGTGAATCGGCAATGACGAAACAGAAGTGTACAAAAGCGTCGGTTTTCCGTCAACCCCACTGGGAATGACAGAACCATCAAAGACCGCTACGGGGTCGTTGGGGCCCCCGGCAACGATTGAATAATTTCCGTTTGGATTCACATCATAGTAGTGAACAAGGTCGTCGGTCAAAACGCTGGCAATGCCAGTGCCATTATGGAGGAATCCAACGTGGAAGAGCCCTGTGTTAGGGTCATTGTAGTGCGCACATGGATCACCGATCTGGCCGTTCGGTGGAAGAACGTGGATACGTGGTCTCCATGTTTCAAATAGAGAGAGTGCAGGAAGCGTTGCGAGATCGGGAGGGGGCGCATTGTAGTCTTGAGCAACAACTCCCGCCCCACTAATGGCCAAAGCCGATACTGCCGTAATTTTCATGGCAATGAAAGATAAAGAGGATGAAGGGGACGTAAAGAAAGATCGAGAACACAAACCAGAAGCGATATTTAGAGTCGATAAAAGCAGGCCAATCTGCTTCATTAGCTGTGCTGTGGTCCAAGGGAATCAATGAACATCCTAATTCTTCGACCTTCGCTATTCTAGGGGCACTCTTGAGGAATGTCAGTGATAAGGACTGGAAAGCCATAGACTTTGCGTGTTGAGCTGATACTACGACCAATTGGGGAGTGTTGATGAACTACAATGCGTTCTAAGTCTGCGAAGGTGTTTTAAACATTCCACAAAGTCTGCTGCAGGAAGAATGTTGCTTTTTTTTTCGCGACGCGCAGGAGACCTTCATTGGAATGTGGCAGTTGCATGGGACCATAGGTGGAGATACTGTTATGTGTTTTTGGAAAAAAAAATTTAACTCCCCGGCCTGCGTTACAGTGGAAAAATCCAGACTGTCAAGGGAGTAGACGGGTTAGAATGATGACTCAACTGCAAGGCGGAGGGCTTCTCAATGCAGAAATTAGTTTGAACAGTTTATAAAAGCCACTTTCTCCTTCACCACTGGCAATAAGCTTGTGGTTCCTTCAAAGAAGAAGCATAGGGAATATACTGTGAAGACGGATGGGTCCCCATTGCAATCGGACCATTAAGCACCGGTCAATTGATTCATTTGCCTCATTCCATCGGAGAAAGGGCCATTAATTGATTAAAATCCCTTTTCTCCGGTCGAAATTTGAAAACAGAAATCATTGATTGTGTTGAAAGAGTTGTACTCTTCTCAATGGCGAGACTTAGAGAGATATATATCTTGATATTTGCGGGGTAATTGAAATCGATAGCGCCTGGGTAACAAACCTTCTTTCGCCTTCGGTCTCCAGAGCTTTGGTATTATCATGGCCATTGAATGTCTTACAATAGCCCACGACAGAGAGAGAAGTCAGTATTGCCCGGGACGGGGTAGGTTTTTGTGTACCAAACGGGAGCAAACCGGGGACTGATGGTGGACCCACATGTAGCAAAGAGTTATTGGAGCATATATATAGTCCTGCACCCTCTCTCTTGATTTGCTTGGACGGCCTATATTGAAGAACCTGAAGAGGATGGATAAGGTGCCTGATAAAACGTACAGTCCGAGAGTTTTAGAAGTTGAGCAGGTCATTGATGTCCGGAACACCGAGATGCTTGCCATAAAGAATGTCGTAAGTTGTTCGGGACTATCTTGAATTTTTGTTTCCTGTAGGAGATCGCGACTCTTGGTTCGTAATCACTTCTTTCTTATAGCTCTCGAAAGCCGCCCACATCGTTTTTCCATCAAGTAACGTTACAGTGGATTTCGAAAACAGTTTACCCCCCAGACGCACACGTTTACTCTCCCAGATACCCACTTTGGCGCCTAGGTCCGGATCGCCCGGGTTCCAGATTCTCCTGCAGCCAATTATATGGCGTCAGACCTCGGGGAAAGGGCTTCATTTAGCCAGAATTAGCTTAGCGCAATCTTAGTGGGGCGCTGGGAAAGAAAGCGTGTGTGTCCGGGGGGTAATCTGTTTCCGAAATCCTCTGTACCAGTCAATACAAATCGCCTCTGTTTTTCAAAACTGCGTCTTGCTTTTAGAAATCTTGGATTAGACTTGTTTTCAGCAGAATCCAAGCTGGGCCCTCTTTCACGTGACGAACTTACGGCCGCGGGGACAACACGTCCCAAAATCCTCCTCAATTTGAGCCGTGTCTATCCGTGGTAAGTGTTAAAAATGATTACCTAAAGTAAGGCATATTGGACCCTCTGCCTCAATTCCTTTTATGTTAAGCAAAAATCAAATATAGGCTAGGAGTTAACGAGACACATTTTCTACGGTCGTACTAGGATAGTCAAGTTAACGGGAAATCGTCGTTAAAGGAACGTTGATTGACGGAGAAAATTTATATAGGCATATCGGACCTCAGCAAATACTACTGTCACCAGGAGTGCTCTTCGTTACACATTATAAGTCTTCACGTTTTCACGGTGTGATCGGTTCAGTTCACGGTCCCGCGTTAAATTAACGACCGCAGCTTTCAACGGTGAGACACGAACTACAGCGTGATCACCGTCACCATCATCACATTAATGTCGACACTAACAGTGAACCTGAAGTCCAAAGCCAGCTTGGTTGTTTCGCGTCGTGAGGCTAGGATCTGGTCCACGCGCCTTCACTTGCGCGAGTTACGGTCGCGCGCCGGGTACCTAGCTCAGATCCGTTGTAGGCCTCTTTGAAGCGTGACCGTGCCACATTGACTATACAGTCGATAGTGAAATCTGCTTCCACCCTGACGGCTGCTTTTTGGTAGAAGAGTGTGTAAATGTAGGGCAGAAGTTGGTACAGGGAGGATCGAAATCAGATTCACCACTTGCACACACAGATTCTTTCGAGAACCTTGTCCCGAAGCACGCTATACTCTGATCGCCCTCTATACACCGCCTACCTATTATATCCACCCACAACCCCTCTTATTGTCTGACTATAATCCTCTTCCTATGATCCTCCAAACCATGCCTCGCGGTCTTGAGCTTGAATCATATATACGCGAGCGTATATGTGAGTTAAAACGATCAGCAAAATGGGGTGCTAAACGTATTCAGAAGAATTCATTCCCCGATATCCCTCTATCTACCATCCACTATTAGACTGCGGCATGGTCTTGGTCTTGGTCTTCATTTGCTAACGTGGTTCACAAGCGAGTGACGCGCCCAAGCGAGTGACGCACCCACCCAAATTTTCTACACTTTTATGCATATTAATCAACCACAACGCCTTTATATTGATTAATCTCTAGCTTTACAGGCATTCCTTCTATGTCCGATCACTCCGCAATTAGTGCATTGAGGTGGACGACGCGTCTTCGGTGCTGGTGTGTCCCGCGGTAGTAGGCTTAGTGGAGCTAGTATTACCTGAGGGGGCTCTTCATGAGCTTCCTCGAGCTCTAATGCTTCTCGTACGGATAGACCGTTATCGTGGGCTATCCATCTGTTCTTGCGAGCACGTTTTTGCTTTTGCGTAGCGTTTGCGGCACGTAGTTGCTTATTTTCTTGCTCGAGAAGGATACCGTTTTGCATTGCGATCTGACAGCCTTTGATAAGCTGGTTTAACGCGGTTTGCGAAGGCGATGGCGGGCTTTTTGAGCGTCGCTTTAAGAAAGCTTTAATTGAGGATGCTTGCTTCAAAAGCTCGTCGACGTTCGCGGGCGTATGTGGGTAAAACGCGCTTGATTGACTACCGCGGCTTGTAGGAGGTGTCGGTGTCCGAAGTTGAATATTTAGCTTTGATAGCACTTGTTGAGGATCAATTGGCACTAGTCCTGCTGCTCGGAAGCTATTTTGTATTGTAGTTGGTTTATAGGCGTCGACGCGAGCTTGTGGGTATGTGAAAAGGAAGTCAAGTTTGTCGATATGGTTAATCCCGAGCCGCATCTTTTGGTCGATTAAACTGCCGTACGAACGCTTTAATATAGCGAAACATCCGATATCAAGAGGCTGAAGTAGATGCGAGGAATGCGGCGGCATACAGATCGGAATAATATCATGATCCGCGCAGATTTGATCGAACTCTGGCGTTAGATGACTTCCGTGTCCGTCAAGGACTAGAAGGCGATATCGTCCACGCGTACGATGATTTGTTGACGGAATAAACTGTTTTTGAAGCCAGCGAAGGCCTATCTCGTCGGTTGTCCATCCATTTGCACTGACTTCGAAGCGCCAGTCGGGTGGAAGGTCTTTAAACCATGCTTGATTATATAGCTTGCCTTTAAAGATAAGCGTTGGTGGAAGCGCCCACCCCGAAGCGTTTATTGACTCGATCGCAGTCACCCACTCGCGGTTTCCTGGCTGTAAAACTGATCTCCGACCGTAGTATTCTGATCGAGTGATCACTTTTTGGGCCGTACAGAGGCCCATCGCGAAGCCAGTCTCATCAAAATTATAGATATCGTCTGGTAGGATACCGTATTGCTGAATTGTGGCTTGTACGAGGTCAAACCACGCTCGAATGATCTTTGGATCCTCTTGTTCTGCTCGCTGATAATTATATCGTCGGGAAAAGCGAGATTTAAGTTCTGGGCGTCGTTTAATAAAGTTATATACCCAATTTTTGCCAACAGTCTGGATGGGGGTAGAACCGCGCGTTGCAAGAAGAATATTCGCCATATCTCGTACATGAGCTTGTGTAGGGGCTGCTCCGCGTAGATCGAGCGATAGAATCCGTTTTTGAAGCGTCTCTTCTTCAATATCTGTCAGTTTAAGACTATTTGCGCGAGTGTCAGCGCGATTTGTAGTACCGCGTAGTCGACGGCGGAGCGTAGCTTCAGGCACATTAAAACGACGTGCCGTCTCGCGTATAGAACTGATTTCTTTATTCTGAATAGCCTGTATAGCAATTGATATACGGCCCTCTTGCTGGATAGAATCTTGGCTTGATCTGACGCGAATTGGAGGCATGGTGCTTAATAGAAGATGAATGGACGCGCGGAGACGCGAAAAAATGGGTGGGTGCGTCACTCGCTTGGGCGCGTCACTCGCTTGTGAACCACGTTAACCAAGACCGCAACTGCGGTTATTACATAAGACAATACATAAAATTACCAGTATGAGAGCCGTTACAATCCTTTTTTCTCTTCACTCATAGGGTATTTCTTGTTTCAATCTAACATTATACATAAGGATAAGCTATTTATGTTTCTAGTTTCACTATCTAAGTATAATAATCAACTTTTCATTAGTAATTTATTTTTGATGTTCTTTAGTTAAAGCTGGTGAAGCCACCCAAAGCGCAAATATATATCTTCACAAGTAGTCGTAAGGACTAGAGTTACTTTATGAGAGCTTATATTACTGTATGATATAAATTGAATAGAAAAAGACTCTAGCTAGTCATTCACCATAGAAGTTGCAGGAGCAAACCTAATATTACTAAGTATAATAAGGGGATTTACGCTCTAATACTTAGATAAAATACATTACCATAGTAATCTATTTATTGCTTTTGCGGTTAACCACAACTAACCGCGGGTAAATTTTGGGGCCAAATTTGCGGTCTTTGCCGCAGTCTATCCACTATACCCTCCGGCAAGACCTAAAGCGTTTGAAAGGTGTTTCCTTACCTCGCTCTGGTGCGCCTCGCATGCTTACTGCGGAGGACCGAGATCATGTGTATGATGCTATTCAAAACCGTCCTGATATTACACGCGAGGATCTGCTTGTTATAGGGTTAAAGCTATGTCAATATAGCGTTTAACGCATGATATGGGCCTCCAGAAGTGGCGAAAGATGAACCGACCCTACCTTACACCTATTCACGCTGCGAAACGTCTTGCCTGGGCTTTAGCCTATCGCCACTTTACACCAGAGGACTGGAAAAGGGTTTTTTGGTCGGATGAAACAACTATTGAACGCGGATAAGGTGCTCGAAAGGAGTGGACATCTATTACTCCTAAAACCAGCTTCAAGAGCGCGAGTCTGGTATTCAAATGACACCCTCAAAGGGAAACAGACAAAGCAGATGTTCTGGGCTTGTTTCTCAGGCGCTCCACGAAAGACTGGCTTAATTCCTTTATTCGGAGATCATACCGCGGATCGTAAGGGTATCACAAAAAAGGTTATTCATAATCTATATCAAGGTATCCTACCTACCTTTCTTACGAACGAGGATGCTATTTTTTCAATATGATAATGCACCGACACATACTGCATATAACGTCCAAGCCCTCCTCTGCGAGTTGAATATAACTGTAATGGATTGGCCGCCTTATTAGCCAGATTTAAATCCAATTGAGAAACTTTGGGGGTTATTAAAGACTGTATCCTTGCCCTACTCTGTCTATTCATATTTTTCAACAATAAACTCGCCGTTCGAATATCATGGTCTTTGTTATGTCTAAACTAGCAACTCGATGGTGTGTTATAATAGAGATATATACATATATATCGCAAATGTTGTAGCTCTATAATTTCCCATATTCCACCTGGGCATCAGGTCAAGCATATGAACATACTTATGAAGTTCACCATCTATATGAGCTCTGGTTGTTGAAGTATAGGGTTGTAAAAAACATCATTCATTACGGTGTTGTGCTATGGCCTACTCGACAGTGAGTTAAGTTAGATTTTCCTAATCTTACAGAGCTCGCGCTGCAGACTTTCCGGCAAGTCGACCGAATGTGAGACATCTGAGAGCACTGTTGCACGGTGGATCTGAGGTGGATGTTGTCAGTATATTGGAAAAAGAATCGTTCACAATCTACTTAAGATTCCAAATTCGGAGGCAACCTTACTCTTTTAGTTTGTCAGTTTTCTTTGCTTCATTATTTTTTTTGCTTAAGTAAGAGAACATCAGATTGGGCTTACCTCATTGTAATACAGTCCGCTGAGTTCCCCGGCGCAGTAAAGTCCTTAAAACGACGTGGCGTGTCAGCAGGTTTCAAATCTTCATGCGAATATTTGATGAACCTCCCTGTCACAAAGAATATTGAAGATCATACCTGGTATAGGGGCACCCGTCGTGGAGAGCACACAAGAATCAAGATCGACTTTCAGTCCTCTAAAAGTGAACACAATCTTTGCAGTCAGAGGATAGCTAAATATCCATCAGCATCAGTGGTATTCAGCAGGGTATGATTAAGAAGGATCATTACCCATAGAAAGGAGCCACTTTGATCGGAGCGGCCCAGTTGGTCTTGTTAGGAGTTAGGCCGAAGGTGCTTTTACCATCAAGAGCCATAGGGTTAAATTCTTTGTCATTGATCCTGCAACCAAACATTAGTGCAAGACTTTGACCTCAGCAGAACATCACTAACGAAGCATTGTATTCATCCACTGTCTTCTTCAATTCTTGAGGAACAAGGCCGAGTTTTACGGCTAGATCTTCAATCGTATCGCCCTTTTCTGGGTCAAGGTCAGTTGTATTATATACCCAACCTGGTCGGAATCGGTCCATAATTGGAGCGTCGGTAACACTTAAGAAACGATTTAGCCATACGTCATATACAGTATGGGTTTCATTTGGCTCACAAATACGCTTTTTGATTTTGGCCTGAGATACACGTGAGTAATGCATATTCGCCTTTCGGCCAACCCCGCCACTTACCGCGCCATGTCTCATAAGCAATGACTTCGCATGTAGCGAACAGGCTGCATCTGTCAGTTTGAAATTTGGACAAGCCGGAAATGAAACATAAGATCGATTCCCTTCATCATAAAAGCGTCTGGAGTGTCTTGAATAGATAACGTAAGTATTTATCCATCGCTTTTTTTTTTTTCATATTTTGGAGCATACTGGTTCACAACAATACCGAAGCTGTGGCCCCAGACCGTTGCCTCTGGCTTCGAAGAGCGAGTATCAACAAGCTCACACTGTCATGATTTTAGTGAGTCTTTATGACATTTCCGTTGAAGTAACTTACGTGCAGGCCATGGAAGGAGCCCGCTGTTGCTGCACCAACCTGCAAGCCCATCTTGAGGCCGAAACCTGTGTTATACTTGAGACCAGGGGCTATCAAACCAAGCTGCTCGGCTCTAGGTCCAACGTATCGGCCCAACCTGCCATATATTTTAGATTCATGTCAAGTCGAACAAGTCCTGACAATATTCACATTTCGCTGTTACCCTCAAAGCCACCGCATGATAGCATGACTTGTTTACCAAACACTTTGGTGAAGCGGCCGTCGTTCTTTCGAACCTTGACACCACGTATGGTACCATCATCTTGGGTCAGGAGTTCCTCCGCATTTGTCTCCCACATAATGTCCACGTTCGGGAAAGAAATTATGTGCTCGAATAGCTTGAGAATTATGGCATACCCGCCACCCTGTTTGTAGTGATTAGATATTCGCTGGTATAATAATCATTTTTTGAGAATGCATACTTCTCCTTTGGCAAAATTCTGGCCTACAAAGTCTTTAGCATTTGATATAGACTGAAGTTACATCTCTCAAACGACTTACCTGTATTGAATCCGAGATAGACATCTCTCTCATCTTGGTGTTGAACCATGACTCCATCTACCATATGTTAGTGCTAGTCCGAGCAGATTAAGAGCTTCCAAATCTGTTTACGGTCCAAAAGAAACTTCACGGTGGTGGGGACTTCCGCTTCCAGTTTCTCGCAGTATGCCTGATCAGCAAGCCCATTACTGCCACAATTAGAGAATGTGATATTTGGCCTAACAGGAACGCTAACCTGACAAGCTAGACACTAGTGAGTCGTGAATTAGGTGAAAGTCATTGGCCCACCACTTACCTTCATCTCATTCTTGAAGTGACTATCAAACTTGTTATCTGCATAATATATCAGTATGTTGTACTTCAATTTGCAACTATCTTGCAACACACTTTTGTCCAACCGAAAGAAGGCTGGTGTCCACCTAGAAGAGCTTTGTAAGCACACATTTATCTCGATTATAACCGAGACTTTGGAAGCTTCTACCTGCTGGCACCACATCGTTCTCCATATTTACCGGCCTCTATCAGGACGACTTTAGCGGCCTTTTCCTTGACTTTGGTATCTTCAAGGAAGTTTAGAGCGGTCATACACCCCTAAGAGAATTATCATTAATACCTTCATCGCAATACATGAATTGGTCAAGCTTACAGCAAAACCCGAGCCAACCACAATAAGGTCATACACCGAGTCAGAATCCGAGGGGCTATTGGTAGGTGAACTGATGATAGTCGACATGATGCTAGCTTTCTTCGTGATGGTTGTCGGATATAGGTCTTTTGTAATTACTGGTACTTAGGTCTCCACAATGAAGAAATGAGTGACAGACGATAGATGAGACTGATTCTGGTTGAATGTGAATTGCGAATGCGATGTCTTCCTGCTTTATTTGGCTTTTTTGTTTGATGACCCCTGAGGTGGGTGGCGTGGGGGCAATGGAATATAAATGTCACTATAATCCGGTGAAATCTCCAGCCACAAGTCGAAAGTGACGTCACATCAGACTTCATAATCAGCGCGGGATCTACCCGAGTGGCTCCGTATGAGACCAGAGGTATCTCCCCTTGGAACATGATCCGAAACCGTTCGTATTCAATCTTGCCGCCTTTTCCGGCCTGCGGCATTGTTGAGGTACTGAGTGAAACCACGGTCTATCCAAGCGAAGACCGTACTATAACCGGGATTGTACACAAACCCACCGTACTATGAGCGAGAGTTGACTGTATATCCAATTTACACTCCGAACAAATAATCCGGATATCACTGGAAGATTATAAGTCGCATACTACTTAGCAAGTACGGCAAGCACCTCATATGCGCACTCCACGTCTCCGGATAAAATTAGCCTCGGCCCGACCTCCGAAACCCGGGAACGCGGCTTCTCGAATACTCAGAAATCGAGAAATATGGCCCCGAACGTCGTCGACATGGTAGTGCTGCCCGGCTACCCATTTGCCCCAATGCGACCGAAAATACCAGTAGCTGACTAGCGGGATTCTTGCAGGCAAAGCTTTTTCCATTGTAACGCTGAGCTTCGTCATGCTGCGTAGTTGCGCTGTTGCGCACTTAAGCTGGCTTAGATTATGCGTAATGACCTTGGATCTGTCTTGTCTCGGCTGCCACCCAAGCCTCGCGCTTGGAATTAACCGGGGTGCATCCAAGGTCATCCTGTCAGCGTCATTAAATCTACATCGTGTAATTGGATCGAATCAGTAGCAGAGTTATAAGGTTTGCTGTTTCTTCGACTTTACCTCGAAAGCATCCGTAAAACGTGTCCTTGCTGGATTCGGCCACGAATGTCTGGTGTCTGCCGCTTGCAGGGATATTAATGGCCGTAACATTTTCTCCGGCAGCCGAGCTTCGGGTTTCTGTGCCGAGCGACGAGCGTTGCATGTAAGCTTACCCCATTAGTGAATACATATAGACATACGGCTGTCCTTCGGTAGCATCGCCTGAACCTGTCAAGACTCAAGTCCCAAGACCCAAGTCTCAAGATTTCCTCATCATTTCGGCCAAGACTGTCATGTCAACGTCAGCTTCTACCAGCCATGATGGTGAAACCACGTCTGCGGATAGTACAAGGCTCGTGCAGCTCAAACGGGTCTTGTCACAGCTGACTTTAGACTGGGAGACTGCGACAATGGCCTTCAAAGCAGCAATCGCACCTGCCGTCCTCGTGTGCATGATTGAAGTGGATGTATATATCAATTACTTCGCCACCAATGCTTACTTGGCTGCGATTATGGCGGCCTCTGCGCTGCCGTATCTTCCGCAGGCAAAGCTTATTGAACATAATCTCCAGCTCGCATTTGCCATGGTCGTGGCATACTGCTGGGCATTGCTTGCTGGTTGGTCTGCACTTCAGGCCAGAAAACATACTACAGATAGCAGTGAGGAGCTGGCAGCCTACAACTCTTCAGCTGAAGTCGTGGTAGCTATTTTTCTGATGTTTATCATGTGGTGTGTGTTCACTCTAAAGTCTGCGTATCCTTCTTGGAATCTTCAAAGCACCTTAGGCGGCATTTATGCTGTTGCAGCAATGCCTGCTGTTGCTCAAATTACTACTCTAGCGCAAGTCATTGCTAGTACCACCAAAATCTTAGAGGCTTTTCTGGCAGGGCAGGCCGTCGGCTTCGTCACCGGCCTTGTCATATTCCCCACCAGTTGCAGAGGGGTTTTAAAAAGAGACGTAATGGCCGTCCTTGATGCGTTGACCGCTATTATGCGGGCTCAAGGAAAATGCATGGTCGATTTAAGGTCAAGCAAGATCTCTGCGGAAGACAAAGAGGAAAGGAGCTCATCGGTTTGTCAACTTGAAGAAGCCCAGCAACGGTTTATAAATCTCATTGTCAAGTCCCGTAAAGACGTCAAATACGCGGACTGTGAGGTATCGTGGGATTGTCTGGGTGGCTCAGACTTGGAGCATATTACCTTGTTGTTAGTAGACTTCATTCCACCTGTATCTGGGTTAAGCTCCACAGCGCACATGCTGCAGCTGGCTATAGAAGGTTGCCATTCGCACAATGGTGATGGTGTGACGAATGGCTGTGATGCGGGAAAGGACTGGCACGACCTTGAAGTAATAATGCATCAGCACTCACTCAGGATATCCGAGGCAATCATGGACGCGGCAGAACACGGCAAACTCAGAATGGGACAGCTCCTTGGCTGTTCTTTGTTTGGCAGGGCTTGTGCGAAAGAAACTCACGAAGAGCACTGGGGAAGCTCCATGGGCCAGGGAACAGCCAGCTTTCTCAGCTCTTATCGTGGCGTTCTCTCCAGCTGTAGCGTTCCAGATCAGCAGAACCACGGTGCTAAAGAAGAGCAGCTGCTATACAACTACATGCGGAACAGACCACAGGCTGCGCACCTTGATCACGCCGCGCCTGAGGCGCATTCTAATGTCCTACGCTACTTTCTGTTACTCCATGTAGGCACCCAAGTTTTACACTGCTATCACTTCAATAAGGAACTAAATATTGCAGTTTCAAACTCTACTCTCGTCTCTTGGGGACGAAGTATTCAAACTTCTGGTTTTCCTCGAGGAGCGCAATACGAAACCCAAGCGCCTACGCTTTCCTCGTGCGGGTAGCCTTGCTCGCTTCATCCCCTGGTCCAAAGCCATGGACCTTCTACGATGGTGTTGGCAAGAGAGTGTCGATGCCGAAGCGGATGTTAGACTTGGACCTGCCTTCTATAATCAAAAGAACCCTGACCATCTCCCACCGGTCAACCTGGTTCAGTCCGTTGGAGATGGAATTCGCAAAATCAGCTCCGCCCTTCGCACGGAACATGCTGCCTATGGTCTTCGGGGTGTTTGTGCTATTATGACCATCGCGATCATCTCTTTTCTCCATGCTTCGCAGACCTTCTATTTTGGACACCAATTCCTCTGGGCTATGTTTGCCATTTTACTCTCCATGGGCCGTACGGCTGGATCGTCGACCTTCATTTTATTGTGCCGCATACTGGGGACCATTCTTTCCATGATAGCCTGCTATCTCATCTGGTACATTCCCGACCAAAAAACCCCAGGTATTCTGGCTTTCCTCTCGCTCTGGTTCACCGTCATTGGCTACCTCTGTAAGTACTGCAAAGCCCTTCCCGTATCATTGCCGTGAGAATAAAAGTGATTCATACTTCCTTCTTCTAGCCATTCGGTTCCCAGGTTTTTCCAGTATATGGTTTGTAGCCCTCATAGCCGCCATCGTTATGATAGCCAGTGAGCTTCAAGACCGTCAACTGGGGCAAGAGACCGTCTCAAAAGCCGGACTTGTGATCTACGCGCCTTATATAATCTTCCCCTACCGACTTGCTGTTGTAAGTATTGGTGTTTTTATTGGGTATTTCTGGACAATTATCCCATATCCACTATCTGAGCACTACGAGCTGCGCCAGGAGGTCGCAAAGTCCATGTATATGCTCGCCAACTTCTACATGTGCATCCGCCAAATAATCGTTGTCCGTATTCACAGCACTGCAGGCAATCCCAGTGACAAAACCAGCCCTAGCTTCCACTTGCAAATAGCTCGCCGCCGTGTCTTCCGCCAATATCAGACACTGGTAAGCAGCAGCAAGAAAAACTACCAGTTCCTAGACTGGGAATTTGCTCTAGGAGGAAGCTTCCCCAAGCGAGTTTACGGCGAGATTCTTCTCATCATAGAGCGCTTAGGCAGCTATATGACTTTAACAGGGTATGTGTCTCACTCGCTTAACCGTTCTTCTGGCTCGTCTCCCTGGCTCGTCTCCCTGGTGGACTACCGACCAGACCGGAACAGTCGAGAAATTCATCGCTCTGGATGGCATCGCTACCAGATTGATCATCCTGCATTCTGCATTGGTTGGCAGCCATGCCCTGCCACCAGAGCTTAGGGAATTTGAGATCCCTGACTTGAGGGACTTCCTGAGCAAGGAGATACCCCCTGAGGAAGGTTTCGCCGCGGCAGCCCTTATTCGCAGCGTTAACTGGTATATGGTTCGGGATCTAAATCGGCTCACGCAGTAAGTCATCGCCCTGGCTGTAGTATGTTTCAGTCTATCTGCTGATGATGAGTTTGACCGTGTAGGCTGGTCGGGGAGCTCGTCGGGGAGCTTGACTTTTCCATTACTGTTGACCCAGAGACATCAGAATCTTCAAATGCCGCTTGATATGGCGGACTTGTTTAATATAGCGGTAAAGCTTGTTCCTTCCAGATCGGCCCAGGGATTCAACTTTATTAGAAGCCGCCTGGCTATGACTCCATATTAGCGGAAATCGGGGTTGGCGACGGCGGGCGATCGGGCAGGGCGGGGAATGAATTTTATAGCAATCGAAAGTGTATAGTGTCCGGATTCCGGAAATCGTTCAGGATTTCTATATTTCCTTCAAAGTGGTTGTAGTAGAGGGCAAAAGGGTTTAGCCAATCAAAACTAGAACAAATAAACCCGGACGATAGTCACGTGGTGTTGAATCGTGTTAGAAATACGAAGGTCCGAGCTAGGTAGCCGGCGCGCGACCGTGACACGCGTAAGTGAAGACGCGTTAACCAAATCCTAGCCTCATAACTGAAAATAACCGAACTGGCTAAGACTTTAGGTCCACCGTCAAATAATAGTAAAATGATGATAGTGACGGTTAATAGAGTATGTAAGCAATAATAGTGATCACGCTACAGTTCGTGTCTCAATGGGTAAAGCTACGGTCGTTAAGTCAACGCTAGACCGTAAGCGAATCAATTTGTGAAAACGTCGAAACCTGGAACTCTTGGCACGCTTAATGACAGAGAAGTGTTTGCTAAGGCCCGATATGTAAATTATCTCCGTCAATCAACGTTCCTTTAATGATGATTCCCCGTGAACTTAACACACTATTCTAGTACGGCCGTAGGAAGTGCCTCTCGTTGACTCCTAGCCTATATTTGATTTTTGCTTAGTATAAAAGGAATCGAGGCAGAGGGTCTAATATACCTCACTTTAGGCAAAAATTTTTAACACTTACTACGAATAGACACGATTGAGCTAATGCAAAACGATCTAGGTAGACGACGAGGCAAGCCTAGAAGTCTATGAATATTACCTGCTACCCTAGTCTTCTATCGGACCAAAAACTACCTAGCTTTAATATACCGATGAAATCCCTTACAGTATAAGGAGTTATCAAATATAGTGAACCTATAATAAGTTCTTCTACCCTTAATCTCTTCGAGCTCTTCTCAGTACTAATGTTAAGGATAGGTTGGACTAGATAAGGGACAAGATGATGAGGCACGACAACACCAATCGTATGATAGAATAGAACTGAACTAATCCTTGCCGAAGCAAGATTAACTAGATACATCTATCTCCCTTTTGTATGTTTGTGGGATCACGTGGCACTCGCTTCCATGTAGGTTATCTGCAGGTTATCCGGGGGTTTCTCCCCATGTCCCGATGCGGATGTTGGATACCTTCATATTGTAGGTCATACCGTAACAACTAACGCGAACAGAACAGAACACATCATAACCATCTAAGTCAGTCAGGTCCTGTTAGGCGATAGATACGTTAGTTTTCAATCACTACGGGCTAGCTAAATAAGAAGGCAAAGCTTTTGCCTGACCTAATGACTCTAATATGTCCTCTGTACGGATAAGCGCCTCTACTCAGTTGTCAACCTACGCTGATCTAACGCTAACGTCTACTAGCTTTTTACCTCTGTATCTCAGAATGCAAGAGACTATTCATGCGGGAGGTATGTCTACTCTTAGCCTAGACCTATTCGATACTATGCTGATATAATAGATGCTGTGATCGACCTATCTATATGTATTGAACCGCTACAGATAAGCTTAACGAGCATCATAATCCTACACTGGTAGCGTCGATCAAGGCTATTTAGTATAAGCATAATATATAAGCCATATATCCCTTCTCGGAATTAGTAGCTAAAATTTAGCAGAACGTGCTTCCGAGCGAGCCCCTGAGAGTTCGATTGCCCCCGATACGAGTTGGGAAACCTTTTTCTAGATGCCCTCTTTTTAAATCTACGCACACGTCATCAATATCTGGTATGACTTAGAAACCTAGTAGCGTGCTAATAATAAGACTACCAATAGGCTCCACCACGGCTTTTCAATTGACGCCATACCACCGCTGCAGCTATCTCGCACAGGGTCCTATCGTTAGCAATTAGGTGTGTCTGCTAAGTGCCATTAGTCCTAGACCGTTTCCTCCGATTGCCGGCCATAATTATCGTGCAGGGTAGGAAATCTTGAATGAGCATCCGTGGTCTATCGTCATCAAAGTTTCGCCAGCCAATGCAACCTAAAGGCGATATCTATGTTGTCTCAGCAGTCTGCTGACCACCGTCAGGTGCGCGCGGGCTAATAGAGTCGACGATAAAGAATTGTGAGTATAGCCTCATATCACCCAAAGCATACTAACGTATTTGGGGAGCCACTTGCCAAGTGGTATAGGAATTGCCAAGTCTACAAGACATGCCGCCCTCGGATATGTAATCCGCGTCTTGCACACCCTCGCCGCCTTGCCGCGCGACGTGATCGATCTACCTGGCCATGTTATTGAGGATAACATGCGGCCAATGCCGACTGAGACGTCCTCGAGACACCACTCGACCTTCCATCGATTGGCCGTGGCAAGCCGATAATCGGCACCAACACTACTTGATATATTGCCTTACGACAAGCGGCTCAACGCCAGCGAATTTTCCCGAATGCATTTAGCGAAACTAGGTCGAGTAACCCACACCTCACAATCTCAGGCGGGCTGTCCTCCGTGCCAGTCTTTCTTGACTTCTCCGATACGTCTTATCCACTGATGTCCCGTCACCCGCACGGTCTAAACAATAGCAATGAATATCCCAATGAATATCCACGGCATCAGATCCACGCCCTTGCACTTTATCCAAAGATCTGCGATCGAAGCAAGCCGATCTGCGAGACTCCATAAAGTCTCGGTGTAGACCATCCCGACTATAAAGATGACTTCGATGACTACATCAAGTGACACGTGCCTCGGAGCATGCGACGAGTTCAAGAGGTCTAAGGCTGGTACAACGGCAGGCAAGAATTCGGACGAGAAATTGGACGGTGTAATCAGCGTGTTCGACTTGAGCCTCCTGCGCCGGCTATCAGCGTGCCAAGCACAAGAAGTGTATCTTTTCCACTGCTGTCTCCGTCAAAGACCGTGCCGTTTCTTGAATTACCAAGCGGATGCTAGTCGTGCCAGAGCAGCGGAAAGGGTAAAAAAGAGCAACAATCTAATATTTTGGTGATGTTGTCGCCTCATATTAGCGCATCTCCGCCTTCTCGAATGGTGGAAGATTTTGGGACGTGATGCGACCGCGGCCACAAGTTCATCACGTGACGGGCGGAGTCCAGCTTGGATTCTGCTAAAGACAAGTCGAATTCAAGATTCCAAAATCCGACACGCAGTTTTTTGCATAATTGAAAAAAAGAGGATTTTCTGTGTTCGGCGATACCAGTATCACATGACAGAACGCCGTGGTTGGGCGTGGAGAGCTACGAGAGAAGTGATTATGGACGAGTAGCAAAATAGACCGGAAATCTCTGTGAGGAACGGCAATTCGGAAAAGATCAGAACAGCGTTTACCTCCTCCGAGACAGACGTGCCGCATTTCGTGCATCAATGACCGGCTCAGCTTTCAAAAATTTAGATTTTACATGGCAGATCAGACTCGCCGTCGGCCCTGCCGTCAACTCCGACAACCTCCGAATCATTGGTCCTAGTACATTTATGTATAAAGAATGGCCCTTGGAAGAACGTCGGCTTTACTTGCTCGGAATAGATGACATACTACTCTATATCTCACATCGCTCCGTGCTGCAGCCTGATGGGCTGTCTCGAGCCTGGCCTCTCTAAAACTATGATTTGCCCGTACGAAGGCTTGATTAGCGTTGGGGTCTTACTGTTTTGCTTGATTCTCGACAAACCTGGAAATCGCGGCGTTCAATGGACCTGAATCTTGCATGAACAATACCGCGGACACAGTAACAGGTCGGGCCCCCATGACCCTGGATCCTTTTTGCACACGAAATCGGAGTGACGTGGCCGTCAGTGACTGAATCAGGGCTTTCGGCCTACCCCCAGCGGCCGGAATGATTCCAGGAAATCCGTTGAGTGATCCTGCTGCATGCTGTATGACTAGTCATGTTTCTCGGGGCGCTTGCATCCGACGAGCATATATGCTGCAAATGGTGATCGACTTTCATTGGAGCAATTGAACATATTTTGAGAAAGATTGATTTGTCATGTAGGCCCAGATCAGTGCTAGTAGACATTGGATCTGAAATCGATACGGAAATCGATACAGACGGAAAGACAGTAATAGTCCGGAGCGTACCTATACCGCTGGTGTTGCTCCGCCAGGGCCCAACGTAACTCCAGTGCCTATTGTAATTCAGAGTTAGGCCGTAATGTCTCCACAAGCTTGGTACGTCCTCATCCACGCCAACGTCACCATTTACTGACAATATGAAGAGAAGCTTCAGCTTCTGATAACACTTTTGAATGGCAAATTGAAAGGTGTCGCGCCAGCCCACGAGTTAAAAGTAGCAGCAGCTGAACAGGGCGATACCATACGAGACTCAGAGAAGTATCAGCAAACCCTCGAGAGATTCTTTGGAGACTATTAAAAACCTCGAGGAGAGGTATCAGCCCAATGGCTCGAAGTGATTCTCGAGAATTACATTTCCCAAGTTTCGAAAAGCTGTTCTAGACAATGTCTTTCTATAATGGTTGCTTGTAAAAAACCTCCACCAGCAGACAATATCCCTGGAAGGGTCCGTAGAACTATCAGGCATCCTATACGCTTAGCCAAAAGCAGTACAGGGTTGAGCAATGAAGTTAACTGGTCGGGGAGCCCGGGAAAGCTTCCCAGTCTCCCGCCACCAAGATCGCGGCGCTAGAATGGGGAGGGGTGGGCAAGCTCTCGAGGCCGATCGTATCTTTTAATTGATGTCACATCTTATCCTCTCGCTCTCGTTGGGCGGACAGAAACCGCCCCAAAAGTAAAAACAAGATTCCGGTGAGGGCTGAATCCCTGCGGCCTTTGGTTCATGTCTATCATATCATTGACTGGCGAGGCAACCATGCCTGTTGGAAGGTTCCAAGGCTGGTGCTACCAGCGTGTTTTTGTAATCGCTAGCCAGTGGGCGATCAGGGACGCGAATCACCCGGGGCCACCATCGGAGATACGTACCCGAAGGGTTCCGGGCTCAATGTGGGGCACAGAAAGGTGGGAAAATTCGCCACTCATTTTGCTACTCAATTTCGTTTTGCTGTCCTACTTACTTTCTTAAAAAGCCGAAAGCTTCAATTTTCTGGGCTTATACAGATCATCTAATTTTTGGGACACCGTACACTTCTCAATGGCGTCCCCAGCACCGAGACAGAAACGGCGAAGGGTTCCCTTGGCCTGCAGCACATGTCGACAACGTAAATCCCGAGTAAGTTTTACCTACGACAGTTGGATGAATCACAGGAAGCAGTCGAGAGACTCTTGCGATACTTCGTGGTGAAAGTTATACTGTGTACAGTTATTTATTCCGCGTTCTCTTTTCAGCTCGCTGGGCCCTCGCCCTTGCCTATGAAAGGTCCAAAAAGCAAGGGAAAAGACATGCTACAGTTAAGAATCTAACTCCTTGTCTTCGAACAGTGCACCGGTGAAAGGCCATGCTCTATGTGCAGGGAACTCCATACTGAGTGCCTGTATCCAGCAGACGGATCTTCCAATAATCTTACAGGAGAAAAGAGGTATTACTATGTTATCCCACTTTTCCATGAATATCGCAATAATTGGTTTAGATATCTTTTACAGATGGAGAAGAGGCTGGCCGATATCGAAAAAAAAGTCCAACAGCTTTGGCAGGCCAAGGGCCCAATCACTTCGAGGAATGTTGACAGCCACCCAACAGAGGGTGTAGCCCAGGAGCACCAATCCGATACGATGTCTGAACTTGGAGAGATCGATTCCTCAGAGAATGCTGTAGATGGGATGGGCACAATGAACTTAACCGAGGAAGAAGAGTCCGGCTTTTTTGGTATGCGTGAGAATCATGTGAAGGAGTAGTATGGTTTGCTAACCCCAGGAAGGTCCTTCATCCAACATAGCTTTCATGAGAAATCTATCTCGTGCAGCAGCGAAAGCAAAATTTAACGGCGTGTCGCGAATCAAATTACCGCCATCAATGAAGAAACGTGGTTGTAAGGTAAGCCTTGCTCAACCACAAGCCCCACTCGTCAGCCGAGAACCGATAGTCGAGGACTCTATCCCACCGGGACATGTGAATATCTATGCACTGCCACCAGAAGATCGCACCCGAATGTTGATCGAACAATACTTCGAAAAGACTGGCCAGCTACTCCCTTTCATTCATGAAATGTCTTTTTGTGAGACGTATCTCCAGATGCGGCTCAAAGGCTTCAGCAAGATCCGACGAAGCTGGCTCGGATTACTAAATATAATCCTTGCTATATCCGCAAGTCTATCAATGAAAGATGAACTTACACCGGAAGAACGTATTCAAGAGTCAGATATTTATTATCAAAGAGCCAATAGTCTCTGTGACAGAGATTCGAAGCGTAACGCAAGTCTTGAGATGGGTGAGTAGGATTTGATACCGACCCAGGGATCCTAATTTCACTACATTCATTTTATTGACCTGGCAATTACTAGTTCAATACCTTTTGGTATTGGGGCAGTACCTTCAAGGGACCCAAAAATCAAACCAAGCTTGGACCACTCATGGCCTAGCTATCTCTGCTGCTTATCAGATAGGTTTGCATTCGCCTGATACAAATCAAGGATATTCTCTATTGGAGTATGAAATTCGCAAACGCACGTGGTTCGGCTGTGTTCTTCTGGATCGGTGAGGATTGTGAACCCCAGCCTTCATGATGGGAGGTACTCATATCGCATCAGCACTCTCAGTATGACTTTTGGTCGTCCTTGCTCGATTCCCGAATCCTACATACAGTTTGATTTGCCTTCTCGGGAAATAAAAATGCTGAGCTCTGGCTCAGAGAGCAGCGGCTCTTCCCAGCTGGATGGTGCTTTCTTTACAGCCGCAATGTGAGCATTCCGGGCTATTACTTTCTGAGTGCTGACGAACGTTTAGCAAGTTGTATGTGATACTGTATCGAGTTTTGAATACCTGCTATGGACAAAATCTTGGTCTCCGAAATTTACTGGGCACTGCGAATTCGATGTCACACATACTTGATAAACAGCATCAGCTCAACGAATGGCGTACCCAGCTCGTGCCATCTCTAGGATTGCACATCTATGAGCGCTTGATGACCCCTGAGGATGTGGAAGATATGGACCCGCACTATATGATACGCTACCGGTTTGACATTGTCCTTTCTGTGCGCTACCATAATCTGCGTATACTCTTGCATCGTCCTTGCCTTGAAAGACTTCTGGAAGCCTTTTGGCTTCCTAGCGATACGCCTGCCGAGGATGAAAGAAGGATCTTCATGCCTATGGATCTTGCAAGCGTGCATAGTTGTGTTGAATCTGCCAGTTACATCATTGCCATGGTCCATAGTATTACGGTATCTACACACCGACATCACGAGTTCTTGGGCGCGTGGAACTATTCATTATACTACAGTCAGTGAAGGGTCTTCAATCGTCGTATGTTTTCGACATGTATACAAATGCTGATGGGATTCTAGCATTCAATGCCGCATTGGTAATAATTGGCTGCATGGTAGTAGCTTGGAAAGACCGAGGAGATGTTTCTTCGGCATGGGACACGGTGGACAAGGTGGACAAGTCCAGGGATTATATTGAGAAAGCCATTTTAGCACTTCGCCAACTTGATTCCGGAAATCGAGTCATAGCACGATGCGTTGAATACCTTTCGCAGCTTGTTCTCATCTTGGATACTTCGAGTAAGTTAAGTGTTCCCTTTAGGATCGGTGACGATAGCTTAATGCAATTACGCTGGCAACCCACGAAAACCACCAATCCTGCAAGACTATAATTGTCAGTATATCTTCTGAGGTTCACCGTGACTGATGAAGTTCACATATAGCTTCGGGTCGATCGCATTTAAGCAACCCAGCAGCTTCCAGTATGCTCTCAGAATACTCGGACGACCTTTTCACATCTGAATACACCGACGCATTACCTCACGCACCTGGGGGATGTTTTTATTGATCCGGATTTAGTTTCTTGGAAACATTTTCAATGCAGACGCGGAATGAAGCTGGAATGGTACGAGAAACTTTGGCTTTAAATAACTTGTATACACACTGATCAAGTAACCTGTTGATGATATTATATCACGGTCTTGCACAGAGTCCTATATTCTACATTTGTTTGACCTCTTTGAATCAAATCCTGCTTTCGGTGAGTTGAATAGAATACATTCGCCGTATTTCACAAACTCAAGGAATTGAACCTCTTCTTTATTGTGATCGTACAGTGCATATCTGTGCAGGATATGCCTGTCTCAGGAAGACACTATATAGCCTGGCAATCCTACTCATCTCCTCTCGACTGCTTTTATTTCTCAGCCGAGAGTTGCCTCCCCTCACGCTACCATAGCTCAACAGAGGCCATCATTTTTAGCGCACCTACGGGGTTACGACCAGGGGATTGGACCTCATCACTTGAGTATTGAATATATAATATACTAGTCTAAACGTCTCTCATTCTGAAGGATAGGCGAACAATTAATGAACATAGACTACCTCCTCAAAAAAAACGTCATATTCATCATAGGTGCAGTATCTTCAGCCTGTAATTCAACAACCTCAAACTGCTAGCTGGGCGGTCTTAAACTCGGTACTAAACTCATAATCAATGTACCCCTTCGGTTCCTTGGGCTGATAGAAAGTATCCCTATTGTAAGGAACCAGCTCCACTCCCTTCAGAATCCTAAACACCAGATCGGGGTTCGAAATAAATGGCCTTCCGATGCCAATAATCGCGTCATAATCCTTATACTTCCCATCGACCGCCTCCTTTGCCGAATCGGGCTTGTACCCACCGGCAATGATAATAGGCCCTACTCTACCATACGCCTCAAGGAAGAAGTCTAATTGATCCGTTGCCTCCACATCCGCATTTCCAGCAACCCGCGACTCGACGACGTGCACATATGCAAGCCTGAATTCCGCCATCTTGCGCGCAAGATAGCTGAATTGCGACACTGGGTCATCCATACGCATTCCCTGGAATGTGCTGAAGGGACTGAATCGGATACCTGTGCGGTCTGCATCCACGGCATCGACCACGGCGCGAGTCACTTCGACTGCGAAGCGGGCGCGGTTCTCGACGCTGCCGCCCCATCGGTCTGTACGAGTGTTCACGGTGTCCTGATTGAACTGGTCGATGAGGTAGCCGTTGGCGCCATGGATTTCGACACCGTCAAAGCCCGCGGAGATGGCGTTGCGGGCGGCTTGGGCGTAGTCTTTGATCCACTCTTGGATTTCAGATTCGGTGAGCTCGTGGGGCATTTTGGCGTCGGGCGTGATGGGGTTGGGGCTGCTAGAGACGAGTTGGAAATCGCCTTCCTTTTTGAGCTGGTCTGGGCTTGCGACGCGACCTAGGGCCCAGAGTTGGAGGTAGATGTAGGAGCCCTTGGTGTGGACGGCGGAAGTGACTTCTTTCCAGGCGGCAATTTGGGAGGAGGTGTAGATTCCCGGCACGTTAGGTGCGCCACCGGCCTGCGGCGAGACGAAGGTTGCTTCCGTGATTAGGAGGGTTCCCGGTACTGAGGCCCGCTGGGTGTAGTATTCTGCCACCATCGGTAGAGGGGTGTGGTTGTCGTCGGCGCGGAAGCGAGTCATTGGTGCCATGGCGATGCGATGGGAAAGGTCTAGACGACCGACATGGAGAGGGCGGGAAAGCTTTGTCATTGTGGGCGCTTTTATGTTCGTTGAGGTCGTATGAGCTACGTTTGGGAGGACCAATGCCGGGGATGCAGTGAAGACGCAGGGTAGATTGAAATGGTAGTATAATAGGATTGACAAGAGTAGTATGTACAAGGTCGGGCGTCTTTATAGATGGAAATTATACCTACGAGGTGATTTCTAAGCAGGTATGTATGCCGGTGGAGCAATTGCAGTGGAGTTGCCGAATTGCATGGAATCGATAAGTCTCGGAGTCGAATCAACTTTTAAGTCAACTTTCAGAATCCAAGTACAAGTACTTAGCTGTGTTAGTCCGGATTGTAACGACAAAAGTCGACTCTTTGAATCGGGAATTGATAGGGACATGGTGACGTTCGTTAGGTCCTCGGGATGCCGATCGTATTCCGACCACTGTTACCGAAGTTATCATGACACCAGCAGCCATTGCCACACTATGACCAGGTCCACATCACTATTTCCTATGTCCCCGAAGTCCTCTTTTGCACCCGAAAAGCCATTCTCTCTCCCCGGCCGATCTATCCGTTGGAAATGGGTCCATCGGGCTCATCGTCCCGCATATAAACAGGGTCGCATCGGGGAAACCCCATTTCTGCGAGAGAAAAAACCATCAGCCAATCAATATTCTTAGCATTATCTCAGTTCTTTTGTTGTTCATTTCTTTCTCCACGGCTCCTGCACCGCGACGATGTTCGCTATCCAGACCTTCCTATGCCTGAGAAACGTGACCATCACAAGGCAAAACTTGTGTACTTAATAATGAAATATCTCAAACGAATTAGTTGAATAACGGCCTCATCGTCACTGCGTTCGCTAGCGTCATGCTACACATCGCCAGCTGGGTCTTCAATTGTGGGTGTATCGGCTCTGAACGCGGGAGGTGAGGATCGGACTGACACCGCTCGCAGTTGCTTATATTTGAGGGTGACCCGTTTTTGATATTCTGGGCTCCCGGGGCTCCCGGGGATCCAGGTTCTCAAGCCTAAGCTTGGGTGTAGCGTTGTTGCCTTTAATGATTGTGCCGTCATTGATGAACTCAGCGAGCTCTTCATCAGGGGTATTCTGCTGGGGTTACTCTGAAAGGGACTGGTCTGAGAGAGTTGGATGTTGAATCAGTTGCCCTTGTCCGGCTGTTCGTTCATAATTCCTCCGGCTCGCCCATGTGGCGCTTCTTCTACATAGTGAGCTCTTGTGCGGTCGTCTGAGACGCTGCCTGCGGGCTGCGACGACGTCGATCGTGGATTTGTCGCTGTCACAGAGTTATTTTGTTCCGAAGGCTACTGCGCTTAATCTTTCGGCGTAGTTGTTTGGGTGAGCTCCTCAAGTGACGTAGGCCGCTGAGGGCACTGGCAGTGTTGCCTCCTGTTGTTATGTCTAAGCGATGTCAGCGATCGTCTCCTGGGTAAGTTTCATCGACATCACTGTAGGCCACGACTCCCCACGACGGCTCTTGAATCACCGAGCCAGGCCGCAAAAGGGGACTATCTAGGAAATACAACCATCATACAAATTCTACACGATCGCTTCTTGAGGCCATATATGTAGCGCTGCTATGCATGCTGTAATCTGGCGATTCAAGCCGAGAGTTTTTATTTCTAGCCTAACGAAGTCACGTACCCAAAGGAGCAGCTGGATCATTTTTAACATGATGGCGACTTAGGCTCGGTGATAACTTCTGACGAGCTTTACGTTATTCCTCTTTTTTCCACCCGTTCCAACGTTCAAAATTTCCCGTATCGAGGTTGAACAAATCCAGCATTCTCCCCACACTCTGATTGACCAGATCCTCAACCGACGAAGGTCTTATGTAAAACGCTGGCACAGGTGGAAATATTATCGCTCCACTCCGTGACACAGACAACATATTTCGCAGATGAATGTCGCTCAATGGCGTTTCTCTGGTCACTAGGACCAGTTTTCGCCTCTCCTTCAGCATTACATCTGCGGTCCGAGAAATCAAATCATCACAGAACCCGGAACTTATCGCTGCAAGTGTCTTCATACTGCAAGGCAAAATAATCATTCCATCCGTATGGAATGACCCACTGGAGATGGATGCTGCCATATCACTGATATTATAAACGTGATCGGCGAGAGCCTTGACATTGGAAGGATGATAGTCTGTCTCATATTTTATTGTTGATTCGGCCCATTTGGATATGATCAGGTGGGTTTCGATGTGGAGACGGCGAAGGGCGATCAGTAAATTGATTCCCAGTATTGTTCCGGTAGCGCCTGTGATTGCCACCACGATCTGCTTCCGTGGCTCCCCTTCTTGGGGCTGACTGGTGGGCATTGTCGATTATGAGTGTTAAGAGCGCACTCGGAGTTCTCGGGGCAATCAGAAAAGAGGATAGGGCAATATCCAGGTTTGGTGCTTGCCGTTATGGAAGCGATGGCCAAGGTCGAGAAGAGGTCCCTTTCATTTAAATATGCCCGCCTCTACCTTCGTTACCCTATCGTAGCCAAAATATAATTTGTCCTGCTTGAAATAATAGTGGTGATGGTCTTTGGCTTGGCAATCACTTCCTGGGTGTAGATCGGATCCTTTCGTAACGTATCTCCCGATGCGGAAATCACATTTATGGATCGGATCTACGGCTTGTAAATACCATTGACCTGCTGGACCTGTTTGGCAGTCGGACCGACTGGTCATGGCCTGCAACCGTCAGAGAAAAGTAACGATCGGATAGACCGGCCGGGGAAATAGGGCGGCATTCGGGAAATAGTGATGTGGCCATAGTCTGACAATGCACGGCTGCTGGTGTGATAATATTTGGTGACGGATGTTCGGAATACTATCGGCATCCAGAGGCTCAGCGAACTCCACAATGTCCCTATCTCCCCGGTCATGGATTACGCCGTAAGTCGCGTAATCAAGAGAAGCACAAGGACGAATATATTAAACCAAGACCTCAACATACAACAAGGAAGAAAAAAATTTGCTCTACTACCTCTGCTTTTACCAAAACTCTCAAGTGTCAAAACATGTCTACAGGAAAGCTCTCTGCCGCGTCATCCCTACGCACCTTCCTTGAAGAATGTAAGGCGGAGGGAGATCTTGTGGAAATCAGTCTGGAAGTGGATCCTCATCTCGAGTCTGGTGCCATCTCTCGCCGTGCATACGAAACGGGTAGTCCAATGCCGCTCATCAACAACCCCAAGGGTAAAGATGGACCAGAAGGTCTCTTCCGCATTCTCGGTGCTCCAGTGGGTGTACGAAATGATCGAGCAACTCGATACGCTCGTTTGGCGAAGTCTATTGGGCTGCCTTCCAACGCAACTGGACATGACATCATCCAGAAGCTCCTAGACTCAAAAAAAGCTGATCCTATTCCGTCTGTCCAAGTTCACGACGCACCGGTCAAGGAGTACAAGATCTTCGGCGATGAAATCGACCTCCTCAAGCTGCCGGTTCCAAAGAATCACGCAAGCGATGGAGGCAGATATCTTCTCACTTACGGGCTACACAGTGTTCAAACTCCGGATGGGAAATGGGTGAACTGGGCTATCACCCGTTGCATGGTGATCGGTAAAAGGCAATTGACCGGCCTTGTGGACGTGAACCAGGACATTGGGGCCATCTGGGCGATGTGGAAGGCTCAGGGAAAGGACACACCCTGGGCTTGCGCCCTTGGCGTTCCACCAGCAGCTGTAAGCTCTATTCTAATTTCTTTATATATGTTGTGTCAACGCCATACGTCATTTGTCCAGAATGCTAACATCTTGAAAATTCCAAGGCCGTGGCTAGTGGTATGCCACTCCCTAAATATGTGAACGAGCCGGATTATGTCGGTGCTATCACAGGAGCTCCTGTCGAGGTCATAAAGTGTGAGACAAACGAAATTGTAGTTCCGGCACAGTCTGAGGTAGTTCTTGAAGGATGTATCTCCGCAACCGAGACGGCGGTTGAAGGGCCCATGGGGGAATATCACGGTTTTATCTTCCCGGCCAAGAAAGCGCCACAGCCGGTAATAAAGGTTAACGCGATTACCTATCGAAGCAACCCCATCGTTCCGATCACTGTCGCAGGTCGTTCTCCAGACGAAACTCATACCGTTTGGGCTTTGTCGATCTGCGCTGAAATCCTCGACTTATTGCAGCAGGCAGACCTACCTATCACTAAGGCCTGGTGCCCGTACGAGTCTCAGGCCATCTGGTACGTGGTTCAGGTTGATCGGAAGAGGCTTGTGGAAATGAAGACCACGCCTGAGACATTCTGCCGCCAAGTCGGGGATATTGTTTTCTCCTCCAAGCCTGGTCGATTCGTACCAAAGGTCTTTGTTGTTGGTGACAATATCGATCCCAGTGACTTGCATGAGGTCGTCTGGGCAGAAGCGACCAAGTCCCAGCCACAAGACAGCGACTTCTTCTTCGTGGGTAAATATCCAACCTATGATCTAGTGCCATACGCCACCCACGGCTTTAACCCTCGCAAATTGCAAGCCAAGGTTGTCAGACTGTGCATGTTGCCTGCGGAATTCAAGACTTTGGACCTGCCATGGGTCGAAGCTTCTTTCCGTGCATCTTACCCGGAAGATCTCAAGAAGAAAGTCTTGGATAAATGGCGGGCATATGGTTTTGAGGAAAATCCTGTAAATATCTAAGAATTTTACTAACTAAAACCGGTTAACTGTGCTATCGGGTCTCTATGTGTTGTGATATGAGGCTGGTGCAGATCAGGAACCAAAACGAAACATCGGAATTAATCCCGAGGGATCTATACGAAGAATCAAATTGATCTTCTCATTGTATCTATAGCCTCATGTCCATCTTGAATAGCTTAACACAATTCATACCTCCGAACTACAATATGTATTATACGTAGACGCCGTACCACCATCTCCACTAACACCTTATTTTACAACTTTATTTATTGACGTATATTTAATGAGATCTTGAACCTATTGCACCAGTTTTCTGACGGCCGTCAGAAAGTATTCTATAATTTGCCGTGGTGTTGAAACGTAATAAGTATACTGCGGTTC